ATGCAAAAATCCTTAACAAGATACTAGCAAACAAAATCCAACAATACACTAAGAAAAATCATTCACTATGATCAAGAGGATTTATTTCTGGGTTGCAAGGGTGGTTCAATATTCACAAATCAATGTGATACATCAATAAGAGAAAGGATCCGAATTATCTGATCATTTCAACAGACACAGAAAAGGCATTTTACAAAATACAATATCTATTCATGATAAAAAACCCTCAACAGAGTGGTTTAGAGAGAACATTAAGGCAACATAATAAAGTCCATATATGAAAAACCCACAACTAACATCATCCTGAATGGGGAAAAACTGAGAGCCTCTCCCCTCAGATCAGGAACAAGATATGGATGTCCACTTCCTTCACTTTTATTCAACATAATACTAGAAGTACTAGCCACAGCAAATAAACAACTAAAATAAAAAGCATCCAAATTGGTAAGGGATATATAAAAATTTCACTATTTGTAGATGACATGATAGCACATCCAGGAAACCCAAAAGACTCTACCAAAAACTACTAGAACTGATAAACGAATTCAATTAAGTTGTGGATACAAAATCAATGTACAGAAACCTGTTGCATTTCTATACACCACTAAAGAAGAAGCAGAAAGAGAAATTAAGCAAACAATCTCATTTGCAATTGCACCACAAATAAGAAGATATCTAGGAATAAACCGAACCAAACAGGTGAAAGACCTGTACTCTGAAAACTATAAAACTTGGGACATCTGGATGGCTCAGCGGTTTAGAGCCTGTCTTGGGCCCAGGATGTGATCCTGGGGGCCTGGGATCGAGTCCCACATCAGGCTCCCTGCATGTAGTCTGCTTCTCCCTCTGCCTGGGTCTCTGTGTCTCTGCCTCCCTCTCTCTCTCTGTCTCTGTGTCTCTCATGAATTAAAAAAAAAAAAAATCTTAAAAAAAAGAAAGCTATAAAACACTGATGAAAGAAATTGAAGATGATACAAAGAAATAGACATTCCATGCTCATGGATTGGAAGAACAAATATGATTAAAATGTCTATACTACTCAAAGCAACCTACACATTTTTTTTTAAAGAATTTATTTATTTATTTGAGAGAGAGAGAGAGCACAAGCAGGGTGACAGGCAGGAGGAGAGGGGAAAGAGAATCAGACTCCCTAATGGGCAGGGAGCCCAATGTGGGGCTCGATCCCAGGACCCCATGTTCAGGACCTGAGCTACCCAGGTGCCCCTAATCTACACACTTAATGCAATTATCTATCAAAATACCAACAGCATTTTTCACAGAACTAAAACAAACAATTCTAAAATTTGTTTGGAACCACAAGACCCCAAATAGCAAAAGCAATCTTGAGAAAGAAAAGTAAAGCTGGAGGTATCAAAATTCCAGACTTCAACTTACATTACAAAGCTGTAATGATCAAAAAAGTATGGTATTGGCACAAAAATAAACACACAGATCAAGAGAACAGAATAGAAAACCCAGAAATGAACTCACAATTCATTGGTTAATTAATCTCTAACAAAGCAGGAAAGAACATGCAATGGGAAAAAGAGAATTTCTTCAACAAGTGGTGATGGGAACACTGGACAGGTACATGCAAAAGAAGGAACCTAAACCACTTTCTTACACCATACACAAAAATAAACTCAAAATGGATTAAAGACCTAAATGTGAGACCTGAAACCATAAAAATCCTGGAAGAGAATACAGGTGGTAACTTCTTTAACATAGGCCATAGCAATGTCTTTCTGATGTCTTCTGAGGCAAGGGAAATAAAAGCAAAACTAAACTATTGGGATTACATCAAAATAAAAAGCTCTGTACAGAAAGGAAACAACCAACAATACTAAAAGACAACCTTGTGAATAGAAGATATTTGCAGGGAATCCCTGGGTGGCTCAGCGGTTTAGCGCCTGCCTTTGGCCCAGGGTGTGATCCTGGAATCCCAGGATCGAATCCCATATCGGGCTCCCTGCATGGAGCCTGCTTCTCCCTCTGCCTGTGTCTCTGCCTCTCTCTCTCTCTCTCTCTCTCTCTCTCTCTCTCTCTCTCTCTGTCTCTCATAAATCAAAAAATCTTTGAGAAAAAAAAAAAAAAGAACTCAACACCCAGGGGCACCTGGGTGGCTCAGTTGGTTAAGCGTCTGCCTTCAGCTCACGTCATGATCCTGGAGTCCCAGGATCAAGCCCTGTATAGGGCTTCCTGCTCAGCGAAGGACCTGCTTCTCCCTCTCTTCTTGCCCCTCCTTCAGCTCATACTCTCTCTCACTCTGGCTCACTCTAATTAATAAATAAAATCTTTAAAAAAAAAAAAACTCAACATCCAAAAAAATAATACAATTAAAATATGGGCAGAAAACATGAACAGACATTTCTCCAAAGACATCTAGACAGTCACCAGACTCATGAAAAGACGCTTATCATCACTTACCATCAGGGACACACAAATCAAAACTGTAATGCAATATCACCCCACACCTGTCAGAATGGCTAAAATCAACAATGTAAGAAAAACATGCCTTGGTGAAAATCTGGAGAAAAAGGAACCTTCATGCACTATTGGTGGGAATGCAAACTGGTTCAGCCAATGTGGAAAACAGAATGGAGGTGCCTCAAAATGTCAAAAATAGACCTACCCTATAATCCAGCAATCATACTACTAGGTACTTACCCAAAGAATACAAAACACTAATTCAAAGGGATACATACACCCTTCTGTTTATAGCAGTTATTTACAATAGTCAAGATATAGAAGCAGCCCAAGTGTCCACTGAAAATGGGTGGTATATACATACAATGAAATATTATTCAGTCATAAAAAAGAATGAAATCTTGCCACTTGAAACATGGATGGAGCTACAGAATGTGATGCTAAGTGAAGTCAGTCAGTCAGAGAAAGTCAAATACCACATGATTTCACTCATATGTGGAATTTAAGAAACAAAGCAAATGAGCAAAGGTGGGAGGAGGAAGAGAGATATAAAACCAAGAGACTCTTAATTACAGAGAATAATCTGATAGATACCAAAGGGGAGGTAGGTGGGAGGATGGGTTAAATAGGTAATAGGGAATAAGGAGTGCGCTAGTAATAATGAGCACCAGGTAATATATATAATTGTTGAATCACTATTTTGTATACGTGAAACTAATATAACACTGAATGTTGGGATCCCTGGGTGACTCAGCGGTTTAGCGCCTGCCTTTGGCCCAGGGCGCAATCCTGGAGTCCCAGGATCGAGTCCCGTGTCGGGCTCCTGGCGTGGAGCCTGCTTCTCCCTCCTCCTGTTTCTCTGCCTCTCTCTCTCTCTATGTCTATCATAAATAAATAAATAAATCTTAAAAAAACAAAAACTGAATGTTAACTTGGATTAAAATTTTTAAATAATAAAAAAAAGAAACAGCATATACCCAAACACACATCACACATACCAAACACACACTAACATATATTCCACACGCAACATTCACAAAACACATGTATCACAAACTGAAGACATATACCATATTGTCACATAAAAATCACATTTAGCACATACACACCACACAATAACAGCACATATTCATAACACACACAAAACACATATATAACACACACACCAAAAGAATCATGCAAACATTAACAAAAACGAGAAGTGGCTGTATTAACATCAGATGAAGCTGCCTTTAAGACAAAAGCACATATATAATGCAAACTTTTGTTTTAGAAGTATGTCAAAGGTTTTTTGAAATTGAAGTATTTTTCTTCTTTATACATATATTTGCTCTTATTAATTCTAAGGATAAATAAGTTTTTACTGCCACTTACATAAACACATCACCTTCTGTTAAATCATGTATCCTTACATATTTCTATTCTCAGTGTGTAGCACATAATTCTGCTTTTTAACATTTTACCAACTGCATTACTGTATATATAGTGTATATAAACATACATATATGCACTATATATATATACACACACAATATAATGTTGTATATATGTTTTTTCTTTTTTTTTTTTTAAGATTTTATCTATTTATTCATGAAAGACACAGACAGAGGTAGAGACACAGGCAGAGGGAGAAGCAGGCTCCATGCTGGGAGCCCAATGTGGGACTTGATCCCGGGACTCCAGGATCACGCCCTGAACCGAAGGCAGACACTCAACTGCAGAGCCACCCAGGCGTCCCCCTGAATCAGATTCTTAAAAGGATCTTCAACAGCATAAAAATATGGTGAAAGAGGATCCATTTATTCATCTTCACTGCTACTTCTAGACACCTTTAAAAATTCATTCACTACCCAGAGGTATTTTTTTTCCAAAGAGTAAAAGAAGGAAAAGAGGTAGAAGGATGATGAAGGTAGTATGAGGTTTTTTATTTCTGTTTCAAGATATTTAAGATTTTTTTTTAACCTTTCCAAAAATTCTTTTTGATTAATACCTTTTGGTATTATATTTTGACCCATCCTAAAAATATAGGCAAACTGTCAGGGAATGGTGAGTCAAATGTACTGGTGTTCCTCCTGAGGTCATTTTAAATACGGTACAGAAAGCTTAGACTGTAACATGATTTTAATATACCTTGGAAATAAACAGTAAGTTCATATACAAATGCCATTCAAACACATGGTCATATCAAGTTAACTTTTACAGGCTGATTTCTCTTTTTTAGCTGAAGTGAGGGGTGGGCAGTGAAAAAAAATTTAAAGAAAATATAATCCTTAATAAATTCCATCAAATAAAATGTTATGATATATGATGAATTGTATTAACACATCAGCAACACAAGCTACTTTATTGCTTTAAAAAAAAGCACTGTTATAGAAAGAAGTTTCTCAACTTATTTTTACAAATTATTTTTACACTGACTTAAAATCTTTTTCAGAATAATGTACCATTCCTTTTTTTTTTTTAAGATTTTATTTTTAAGTAATCTCAACTCCCAGCATGGGGGCTCAAACTTACAATCCCAAGATCAAGATCACATACTCTACTGATTAAGCCAGCTAAGTACCCCAACTTACCATTCTTTAATAGTTACTTCTCTAATCCCTTCTCCGATGTCTGACAGTTTGAATTGAACAATCTGTCCCTGCAGAGCTTCAAAGACAAATGAGAAATAATCTCATTAATTATGTAATGTATTCCTAATAGATGCTTTCACAGCTAAAATTAGAAAACATTCCCAAGCAGAGACAGAAACTATTGATTTTACAGATAAAAAAGTATTTTAAAGTTTTAAAAGCATAACCATTATTCATAAACATCAAAGATTTAAATAAACCATTTAGTGTTACGGACCTACTGATACTGCCACAGCACTTCCATTTTCCAACTTCCAAATAATGTTCTTTACAAGGGTACTGAAGGTCCAGTTAGCTGGATCTCCTTGTTTTCTGTTATTACTCTGTAATAACCATTAGTGACCTGCTCTTAGTTCTCTTTTGACTTCATGTAACCGTTCTCACTCTTAGTGGCTAATGATTGGACAGGTCCATATCTAGAAAACCTGATGAAAAATTTTCATCTGTCCAAACCATGTTCTGCTGACTTACCATTAAATCTTAGTCCCTCTCTTTCCTCTTTCCAGTTTTCATCCCTTTTGGAATTTCTACCCCACTCTTATAACAATTAGCTGCAAGTGATACTTTATGGTAATTTTTCCCAAGAGAAAGTACTTCTGGTCAACAGAAAGTAGGTATGGATCCTCTCTTTTCCAGGGTAACAAGTCACTCTGAACTGATTCAAGAGTGCTCCTCTATCTTCAGACTGCTGTTCATCAAAATTGATTACAAAACACACAACAAGCGGATTTAGGTTGTAAGATTTTTTAAATAAATACAAGGAGTTAAGTTAATGGTTAAGAAATACAATTGCGGGCAGCCCTGGTGGTACAGCGGATTAGCACAGCCTGCAGCCTGGGGTGTGATCCTGGAGACCTGGGATTGAGTCCCATGTCAGGCATCCTGTATGGAGCCTGCTTCTCCCTCTGCCTGTGTCTCTGCCCCTCTCTCTCTCTCTGTCTCTATGAATAAATAAAATCTTAAAAAAAAGAAAAAAAAAGAAAAGAAATACAATTGCATTTTTTGGGGGCACCTGGGTAGCTCAGTTGCTTAAGCATCTGCCTTTGGCTCGGGTCAATGATCCCAGGGTCCTGGGATTGAGCCCCACATCAGGCTCCCTGTTCAGGGCGAGCCTGCTTCTCTCTCCCTCTGCCCACCTCTGCCCCTGCTTGCTTGCTCACTCTCTCTGTCAAATAAATAAATAAAATCTTTAAAAAAAATGCAATTGCATTTTTTGATATGGAGGTATAGGCACCTCTTATTTCCTCTCTAGTAAGTTGGGTCCTCTTATAGCCTGCTGCTCATAGTAAAACTGGAACATTTCTGAAAAATAATCTAGTATTAAATATCAAAAGCCTTAAACCAAAAGTCTGTAACTTTGACTCAAAAGTAATTCTGCTTCACCTGTGCCAAGGTGAAGTGTTTGGAATTTATCCTGAAGGTAATCAGGAGCCAGTGGTAAGTAAATATGGTCATAATTTTTTTGCAGCTGCTCTCATAGACATAGAGTCTAATTTACCACTACTTAAATCTATACTGGCCTATCACTTGCTTGGACAAGAGAATATAACAGAAGTGAAGTTGTACAAATTCTGGACCCCAGACCTCAAAGGGCCTTGCAGCTTCTTCTATCTTTTCCCTCTTGGAATATTGCCTTAGATCCCCAAGTAAAAAAGCTGATTTAGTCTACTGTAAGATGAAAGACCAGGTGGAGGAGAAATGAGATGCCTCACCCAAAACCCAGCATCAATGATTAGACATGTATGTGAGACTGTTTTTGACCTTCCAGCCCAGATGATCCTCTAGCTGAATAGTCATATGCAAATGAAACCAGCAGAGGGACCATCCAGGGAACCCCCAGAATCCTGAGAAATATAAATCATTGTTGTTTTATGCCATTAAGTTGTGGGCAGGATTGTTATTCAGTATTAATTAACCAGTAGGGAGTACCATCTGCAATTTCAGAGCTGTAACTTTGGGTCCATAATTTTAGAAAGAAACCTCCCTGGCAGGAATGTGGTGAATGGGGTTGGGGAATAGATGACAGAGAAAGCAGTTAAGAGGCTACTACAGGTACAAAACTGAAGTATGGAACTTAATATATTTATATATTTTCAAAGCTGTCTGAAAAAGAGAAGACAGATTTAAGAATCATGTAAGATGTCAAATTAATAGATCTCAGTAACCAATTTGATGTGAAACAGGAATCAGGAAGCCCCAAGGTTTCTAGCTTACATATTCACTGAGAGAGTATAGGAAGAGAATGGATCCCAAGCACCTAGAACAGTGCCTTGGCAGATAGCAGGTGATCAATAAATATTTGTACTAAATGAATTCTCACAACAATACAATGAGTTAGATTCTATGATTACTCCTATTTTACAGATTATGAAATAAAAAGGAATTAATTAACCTGCTTAAAGTTACACAGCTAGTAGTTGATAGACCAAGAAACCAAAGCTCAAGGTAAGTGTTTAGAGACTAGAACAGGAAGTTGGAGTTCCTGCTTGAATGGCCTCTATTTTTTCTGAGAGGTAAAAGGAAAATATCAACTTTTAAAAATAATAATCTTGGGATCCCTGGGTGGCGCAGCGGTTTGGCGCCTGCCTTTGGCCCAGGGCGCGATCCTGGAGACCCGGGATCGAATCCCACGTCGGGCTCCCGGTGCATGGAGCCTGCTTCTCCCTCTGCCTGTGTCTCTGCCTCTCTCTCTCTCTCTCTGTGACTATCATAAATAAAAATAAATAAATAAAAATAAAAAAATAATAATCTTAAAAAAGGTGAAGGTAGAGTTTACATATCTTGGGGTGTTGTGGAAGATGGCCTATATAAAAAGGGGGAAAAAGGAGGGGTGGGAAAGACTGATGTCAGGGGTTGGATCTGCCTGGAATTCTCCCATTTTTCTTTGCTAGCACAGAGTAAGGCACCAGATAACTATCAAAAGCTTAGTGATGTAACAAAAGTCTAGGGTTCTGTATCAGAGTTCTAAATGGACCATCAGAAAAAAAATAATTTAGTGCCCTTGCCAAAGCTAACACTTAACTTGAGGCTTCAAGTTCTTTACTAAGGGTAGAAAAAGATGGGAGAAAGGTAATTAAATGGTAAAGTCAGAAGACTTTCTGTTTAGGAACACCTTTGGATGGTTTCATCACACAATCTTAACACAATAGACTGAGGTAAGTGCTTCATCCAACCAACAATACAGTGACAGTACAAGGATACAATTTAAGTCAATAATTTATCTAATTATTGCACTTAGATGAGTCAGATGATAAAGAACACATGACCCAAGACAACTCATTCCCAACATTAAGAAGACACAAGCATTTATGGGAAGATGTGAAAGGGATGGGGGTGGGGGGGATGGGAAGTAGGCACAGAAAACAAAGTAAGAAAAGGATAGATCAAGGAGAGCAAGGAGGGCTGGGCTAGAAAGAAACGGTTAACTTTTTTTACTTTGATAACTCTTCAATTACTTTTTAAAAAGTTCTGAATACAATACAAAATATTTTTTTTATAAAGGCTATTTTGAGATCATACTTACCAGCACTTGTTTGCAGCAACTGATGTGGATGACTATATTTGAATGAAGGATAACCAAAGAAACACACATACTTTGGCTTCAAAATATGAACATTATTACATGTTTGAAAGTAGCGAACACAAATCTAAAGATGAGAAAACAAAAAAGTAAAAGCTTTTGTGAATATTCTTGATGGCTTATCTCTGTTAAGTACATACTGAACTTCAAGTCTATTCTAAAAGTAGAACAGTCATTATCACCATACAAACAATATGAAATTACCCAGGTCAAAATCTGAACTGGTCAAAACCTGGCATCAGTGACACTCAAGTTTATGAAGATTGGTTATTTCTTAAGTATTTCTGTTAAAGAAATTAAAGGAACTTAAACCTTAGCACCCAGAAAACATTATTTTGTTCTTTTATTTGTAAAACTATATCCTTGGAGTCAGATTTGTTTATATGCTTATGAGTCTTGCCTAAAATTTCTTATGAAAGTGAAGAAATTTTAACGATGTATTCTGTACAAACACAACACTTTACAGATGCAGTCAAATCATTAAAGACTTTCTAAGACAAAACTACTACTAAAGAATTCAAAACTGACTGTTGGCATCTAAAGACTGAAAAATATATGTAGTGCTGTAGGGAAAGGTTTTCTTACTATAATTTACAGATGACTCTTTAGATGTAACTGTTTTGTATAATATCTTAATGTAATGCAAGACAATATGTAATAGAAATAAGTAGGCCTAAATATATTCAACTTGATATATTAAAACCTATGTGTCTGAAAGGTAGACTATTTTATTTTGAAAATTAATATTTCATTTTTTTAAAAGATTCTTCTTTTTTTTTTTCATGAAAGAGAAAGAGGCAGAGACATAGGCAGAGGGAGAAGCAACCTCCATGCAGGTAGCCCGATGTGGGACTCAATTCCTGGACCTCGGGATCACGAGATCACGCTCTGAGCCAAAGGCAGGCGCTTAACCACTGAGCCACACAGGCGTCACTAAAATTAATACTTCAATGTTATTAATACCTGGTTACCTATATCACCCTTTTAAATGTAACATATAAAAAATTCTAGCTCCCTGAATGTATTTGAGAATAGTGGTATGTATTTAAAATTTTTTTATTAATGTAAGAGTTACTTTTAATTTAAAAAGTTATTTTATTATCATGTACATTATCATTTAGTGATTAGCTCTTAAAATTTAAAAGTTGGGCAGCCCTGGTGGCTCAGTGGTTTAGCACCGCCTTCAGCCTGGGGCCTGATTCTGGAGACCCTGGATCGAGTCCCACATCAGGCTCCGGGCATGGAGCCTGCTTCTCCCTCTGCCTGTGTCTCTGTCTCTCATAAATAAATAAATAAAATAAAATAAAAATAAATAAAGGCAAAGAAAAACCAAATATCCCTTCCCTAAAACACAAATTTTTAAATTATGCATCTTAGTTTTAAGAGATAATTCTAAAGTAACTAATCTTTACAATATATATCTTATTAATATTCAAGAAACATAAAACCTAACTAAAGTTGATAGCTTAAAATTTAACAGATAGTGAAAGAATGCTCTTTCTCAAACTCCCATTTTCTGTGTCCTTTCTTTCTCCTTCAACTCCCACAGCCCTGGTTCTTAGTCAACAATAGAATCAAAGGCATAAATCAACCTCCACTTTATCAGACATTCATAAATTTTAATTTCGAGAGCAGTAAGTGGAATTATATGGATTCATTTTTATTTTAAAAAATTAGTTTTTGGGGAGCCTGAGTGGCTCAGCGGATTAGCGCCGCCTGCAGTCCAGGCCATGATCCTGGAGACCCAGGATGGAGTCCTGCGTCAGGCTCCCTGCATGAGCCTGCTGCTCCCTCTGCCTGTGTCTCTGCCTCTCTCTGTCTCATGAATAAATAAATAAAATCTTTAAAAAAAATAGTTTTTAAAAAACATTTGAAAGAAAATTAAACTACTATAAGGTCTTATCTTTAACAGCAGCTTTTATAAAAGAACTACTAAACTGGCAAGAGAGGCATGAACTTACCAAACATTTATTGAGTCCCTATGTTCTGGGTACTATAAAGGTCTTGAAATGCATCATCTTTTTATCTCACAATTACCCTCCGGAATAATAGGCACATTAGCACTCTTTAACATAGGAGAAACAAATGATCAGAGAAGTGCTTTGTCCAAGGTCACAAAGCAAACAAATGGCAAAATTCAGCTCTGAAACCAAGTAAACCTGAGGCTCTTTCATATCACATTGTTATATGTAGGAGAAATAATCCCTGCTTTCAACATAACCTAGTTGAGACAATAAACATACACACACTCACAAACACACACTCATGCATGGAATGTACGCTCTAGTTTCTTGTAGTAAGTATACGCAGTAGGAAAAAAAAAAGTATTGTGTTAAAGGAGTTTAAGTAGAGTTTTTTGTGTTTTGTTTTTTCAGGTTGGCTTGACCTGAAAAGGCTTCCAGGAGGAAGAACTGAGGTGGGCCTTGCATAAAAAGTATTAATAATTAAAGAACAGAAATGCACTTTTAAGGCGGATGGAACAGCATAAACAAAGAATTGCTGCCAGAACATGTCTCCTCAGTGAGTTGCTTAATTTGACTTGATCAAATTTATAAAAGGAAGCAGCGGAAGTGACTCAAGGACCAAATTATTGATGACTGTAAATGTCAGGATAAAAAGTTTGAACTACTACACTATAGATAATTGAAGAAAAGGACTAAGAAATTAATCTAGTTGCAGTTTATTGACTAGATTATAACAGGTAAATCCAAGTAAGAGAGGAAAATGTTAAGAAACTTATAGTATTTAAGGCATGAAACAACAGGTTCCTGAAGTGATTTACAGTGGAAAAGGAGAAAGCAACATTAAATACAACAGCATTATGTGACTAAATGGATTAAGAGAAGGCTAAAAAACATTAGTGATACCGCTGAATGGAAAGATGATAAAGCAACAGAAGGGAGAATGAGGAAAAATAATCTGTCAAGCTCAAAAAGACATTTTTTCTAGAAACAGAATACCAAAAAAAGGAGATGCAACAAAGGTAAAAAAAAAAAAAAAAAAGAAAGAAAGAAAAAGAAAAAGAAAAAAAAGGTTTAGCAGATTCAAATAAGGAAATAAATAATAATTAAACAGGCAGTTGTTGAGCGCTCCTGAAGACAGGGATTGTGCTGAGTTTGGGAATTCAAAGCTAAAGAAGCTACAGAATATAGTCCTTAAAATCAAGTTGCTTACACTTCATTACAGGAAGACAGACAAAACAGAAATTCACTGTTAGTTCAATATGGTAAGTTAATCCAGAGTCAAAAGCTTGATGCAATAGAGTATAAAACACAACACAGTAAGGGCTTTTAATAATTTATTATAAGTATTAAGACCTGTTGTTGTTTATGACTTTCTAACAGATGGAAAAAATAGACTTTTTACTGAGTTGTTCAGCAAATGTTTAGTCAGGCACGTGGAATTAGAGAACAAAATAGATGAATTCCTTCTCTCATGCAATGTACAGTCCATACCTTCAAAGAAAGACAACTAAAGAGGTGATTACATAGTGTTGTAATGGGAGAAACAGAGTATTATAAACAAACATACAAGAGGGAACCAACCTACTTCAAGAAAGTAAACTTGGAAGGAAGGTCTAAGGGATGAGTAGGAGTAATCCAGAGGATAAGGTATATTGCAGATGAGGCCAGAGGGAAAGAAGGCAAGAGTCTTTAAAGCAGAGGAAATACATGTGCAAAGGTCTGGAGCCTGGAATCCAAAGAGAGCAGTGTGTTCAATTAACTGAAGCTCAATACACTTTCACTGTAGATCAATGTGGGGTAAGAGTGAGGGACATGTCAGAGTGGGGGTTGGGTGGGTAGGTTTCAGCAAGAAATGAAGCCCGAGAGAATGTGGAAAGGTCCAAATCATAAGTTGCCTCATAATTCTTTTAATTTTAGACATTTTGCTTATGGCAGTATTAAGCAAGGAATGACATTCTCAAATTTATCTTACTTTATAAGATCACGCTGGTTAGAGAATGGGTTGGAGAGGCACCAGACTGGAGGCAGAAAGTCCAATTAGGAAGGACCAGGATAGGGCAGCCCCGGTGGCGCAGCGGTTTGGCGCCGCCTGTAGCCCGGGGTGTGATCCTGGAGACCTGGGATCGAGTCCCACATCGGGCTCCCTGCGTGGAGCCTGCTTCTCCCTCTGTCTGTGTCTCTGCATCTCTCTCTCTCTCCCTGTGTCTCTCATGAATAAATAAATAAAATCTTTAAAAAAAATTGGGGGTATTTATAGACTAGAATCAAAAGAGAAACAAGTCGGAAGGTTTAGTTCTGGAACCCAGAATCTGATGTGCCTCGGAGGCATTGGGGGCAGACATGATGGATAAATGCTTGCTCCTTCAAGACCCCTTGTGCTAGCTGTGGCCATGTAAAATAGTTCTGGCCAATGAGTCTGACTGGTCCCACCTCTTCTTCCTTCACTGCCTTGAATATGAGGTTGTAGCAGCCCTCTCCTAAGCAGGAGGGAAAGGCCAGATGAATTGTTGAAATGACATTCCTAACCAGCTGCCATCTAGCTTTGGGATGCATAGATAAATTTCCCATTTATTGGTTTGGTTTTAATTAGCTGCAGCTGAAAAATACCTAATATGCATGCAATTGGAGATTTCCAGGACAGTAGGATATATATGGGTCTGGAGTAGAACTGGCTTGAAGACTGGGGAACTTTAGGAATCATCAGCATATAGATGAAACTAAATTCAAAGAAGTGGAGTAGTCCAGGAAGCGCGGAGGGCCAAAGTCAGAGCCCTTATAAACACCATACATATTTAAAAGTAGGGCAGGAAAATAGGAGATTGGGATGGAGTGGCCAAAGATCTAAGAAGAAGAATATTGAGAAGCTGGTGTCACAGAAGCTAAGGAAGGAGAAGTTTCAAAAGAGAAGCCAATACCTACGAGGGTGCACATCTCAAGTACACAGTGTCCGCTGAGAACTCTTCCCTGGCCCCCGAGACTCCTCCTATGTGTTCCTGTACCTTTGTAATGTCCCATTATAGCACTCCTCCAGCTCTTTCTCCCCTGCCCGCCACCACAAGGTGGTGTCTTCACTTGAGACAGCAGGGGTCTTGCTCATATTTGCATCCCCAGTGCCTAGCCTCGCACAGTACCTGGTACACACAGGCTCTTGGCAGATCAGGGGCCGACCACCGTCATAGCTTAGGGAGGAGGGATCCCAGAAAGAAAAACGCTATACAAACAGGATGAAACACTAAGATTACCGGGATGTTTAAAAGGTGGTTCAGAGGGAGGAACTTCAGAGATGGTGGTAGGTCGTAGCTCTAGGGATAAAGGGTCGGAAGGATACGTGGCGCAGACACAGGAGAGGAGTACAGGTCCTCAGGACGAAGCGCGAGTCTCTCTGCTCCTCGGGGGCAAGGGCCCGTGGTGCTCTTCCTTGCTTTACCGGTCTCTTCCTCTAGACTAAGTTCCCCGAGGCAGGGGTCGTGTTGTCGGTGTTCCGCACACAGTGAGTGCTCAATAAATGCTGAATGAATATGTATCTCCGTATCCCGAGCGCCCATCACAATGCCCAGCACCCAAGGGTGCCCGATAAAGGGCTAACGGGTGAAAGGCTAAATAGACGGGCCTGGGTGCAGGTCGAGCTGGAAGACGACGGAGTCGCGACAGGTACGGAGGGCTCGCCAGCCTCTCCGCCCTTCGCCTAGCAAGCATCCTTCCACGTGCCCCGTCCGCCCGGTACTCGCACGACAACGTCGCACGCCTCCCCGGGAACCCCGGCGACTACTCACTCCCCCCCCGACCTCAAGCCTCAAGTCAGCCCCCAACCACTCACCAGCCGCCCGGCATTCCGGCTCCACGTCCCGAGCACACGCACTGCGGCCATCTTACCCGGAAATGACAAGCGCGCGGACCACCAACCGGGAGCCGGGGAACGCACCGCCCCCCGAGCGGCCAATGGCGAGGGCAGGACCGAGCCTCCCCCCTCGACAGCCAATCAGGGGGAGGGGCGGGGCCTGAGCCGCCCCGGGGGCGGCGCGGCGCGCGCGGAGGTGAAAGCGAGCTGGGGCCGGAGGGGGCGGGGCCGGAGGGGCGGGCCCGGGGGCGGGGCCGGAGGGGGCTCCAAGGTGACTTCGCGGACGAGGTCCCGCAGGACTTGCTTACCGCCAAGCCTCTTCGTTCTCCTCCGGGAAGTGGAAACGGACACTGTTAAGGACACTGTTAAGGGAACACAAAGGAAGGGCCCCTACCTGGAGAGTGATGGTGAAGACCTGAGGGATGACTGGGAAAATATCCCCTTTCTGCTGGTCTGGTAACCGCCTTGGTCACAGACAACGCGACATGTCTATGCTTTGTAGCAAGGCTGTGCACCAAGTGAGTTACAAGTCTGCGCTGGAGTTTAGCGCCGCCTGCAGCCCAGGGCGTGACCCTGGAGACACGGGATCGAGTCCCACGTCCGGCTCCCTGCATGGGGCCTGCTTCTCCCCCTGCCTGTGTCTCTGCCTGTCTCTGTGTATCTCTCGTGAATAAATTAAAAAAAAAAAAGTCTGCGCTGGAGTACCACCCAATGGCGGGTATTTCTTACTCCCATTGAGTTTCTTGGTGACCAAAATTGCCTTTTAAAAAAAATTTTTTTTCACAGAAGATAAAGAAGGTTACCTAATATCTGAAATAAGGATACCAACATTATCTTACTTCTTAGAGAATGTTGTCAGATGCAGCTGCCCACACATACAATATGTGTTACAGATCTATACCCTTGACTTGGCTGTTGCAGAATGTCAAATTGAGGTCAAGCTGATAAGGGGGAATAAAAGATCAGAGCTTTAATAGTTAATCTTTCTCAGAGCAACTAGGACACCCAATTTCTAGAAACTTCCAGGATGACACTTGCCTGGTTCTTGGCTTCTACATGAGAATTAAAATCTGAACAGATGTCTAAAGAATTAGGGATCCCTGGATGGCTCAGTGGTTTAGCCCCGCGTTTGGCCTAGGGCCTGATCCTGGAGACCCGGGATCGAGTCCCACATCAGGGTCCCTGCATGGAGCCTGCTTCTTTCTCCCTCTGCCTCTCTCTCTCTGTCTCTCATGAATAGATAAATAACTCTTTAAAAAAAATCAGCCTTTATTCTTTTTTAATAGTATTATTTTTTTCATTTAAAGGCTTTATTTATTTATTTCAGAGAGGGAGTGAGCCCAAGCAGGGGAAAGGGCAGAGGGAGAGGGGAAAGCAGGCTCCCCGCGGAGCAGGGAGTGCAGTGCAGGAGCTCAGTCCCAGGACACACACACACCCCCACCCCCACCCCCACACCCCCACCCCCCACCCCCGCCCCCAGGCCAAGGCGGACTCTTAACTGACTTAGCCACTCAGGCGCCCCCGCCCCCAATAGTGATATTCAATGAAAACAACTTCTTTTGAAGTACTGGTTTCATTGCATTCCCTAGAATCTGATAAGTAGAGCTTTCATTTTGGGTAAACAATTTTCTATTAGCATTTCTTCTTTTACCTATGGTTTATTTACAGGTGTTTGTAAATTTCCAAATACCTATGTTTTCTGCTTGTTTTGCTTCTCTTTTTTGGAATGAATTTCTAACAAAATTGCATTTTTTTAAAAGATTTTATTTATTTATTCATGAGAGACACAGACAGAGAGAGAGAGAGAGAGAGAGAGAGAGAGAGGCAGAGACACAGGCAGAGGGAGAAGCAGGCTCCATGCAGGGAGCCCGATGTGGGACTCTTTCCCAGGTCCCCAGGACCACACCCCGGGCTGAAGGCGGAGCTAAACCGCTGAGCCACCCGGGCTGCCCCAAAACTGCATTTTGGTTAGAGAATGCCACCTGTATGATACATATTCTTTGGACATTGTTTAGATTTGCTTTATAACTTAGTCATTTTTTATAAATGTTTCATGAGTCCTTTAAGATAATGTGTAATCTATAACAACTGGTTGAAGAATATCTATATATGGAAATAATATGTACATAATATATCATTGCCATTAAATCAAGCTTATTTGTCGTTTTGTGCAAATCATCCTATCGGGCAGCATGGGTGGCTCAGTGGTTTAGTGCCTGCCTGCAGCCCAGGGCTAATCCTGGAGACCCGGGATGGAATCCCATGTAGGGCTCCCTGCGTGGAGCCTGCTTCTCCCTCTGCCTGTGTCTCTGCCTCTCTCTCTGTGTCTCTCATGAATAAATAAGTAAGTAGAATTTTTAAAAAATCATCCTTATCTTAACTAAATTTTCACCTGCTGAATCTAGGGCATACAAAGTTTTGAATAGTTAGATTTTCCTGGTGAATTCAACTTTTTATAGTGACTGTTTTTGACAATGATAATGCTTTTTGTATTAAAGTATAATTTATCATTGAGATAGCTATATCAGCTTTCTTTTGAAAGTTGGTGTTTATTTGGTGCCTCTTTTCCATCTTTATTCTCAGCTTCTCATGATCTTTTATATTTTAAGTGCAGCTCTTGTAAATAGAATATTCTTTAAAAGAACCGATCTCTTGGGAACCCTGGGTGGCGCCGCGGTTTGGCGCCTGCCTTTGGCCCAGGGCGCGATCCTGGATACCCGGAATCGAATCCCACGTCGGGCTCCCGGTGCATGGGGCCTGCTTCTCTCTCTCTCTCTCTCTCTCTCTCTCTCTCTGTGACTATCATAAATAAATAAATATTTAAAAAAATAATAATAATAATAAAAAGAAACAATCTCTGGCTTTCGACCAGAAAATTACTTTGTAGTTTCACTTTTATTAGTTGTATTTGTGAGCTTATCTCTACTTTCTTGCTTTAGTGCGTTCTTTATCCTGCTTTTTTATGCCAACCCAATTTTTCTTTTTTAAAAATTGAAGTGTATTTTCCCCTTAGTTCATTTTCCCTTTTAGCTGGTTTAGAAGTTATACACAATTGTTACTTTATTGGTTACTCTTGAGATTTTAGCTTGCATGCTTATCTTTTTTTTAACATTTTATTTATTTATTTGAGAGAGAGAGCACGGGAGTGCACGAGGGGGAGAATGGGAGAAGGACAGAGGGAGAGGGACAAGCAAACTCCTCACCAAGCAGGCAGGGAGCCAGTCCCAGGACCCTGAGATCATGACTTGAACCTAAGGCAAGATGCTTAATTGACTGAGGCACCCAGGCACCCCACTTGCATACTTATTTTAAAGTCTTAAATCAATTTATGTTTTAACTCTATGCCCAAAGGAGACCTGACAATTCTTTAACTTTAGTCATCCACCTCTTGACTTCCAGCTCCCTGTTTGGTGGGAAGCCTGCTTCTCCCTTTCCCTCTGCCTGCCACTCCCCCTGCTTGTGCTCTCCTCTCTCTGCCAAATAAATAAATAAAATCTTAGAAAAAAAAAAGATTCATAGATTCAGAATGCTGACAGAAAATAACCATCAATACAGAATTGGGTCCCCAGCAAAATTATCTTTAAAAAATGAGAATGAAATAAAGATACACAGAAACTGAGTTTAAGATACTTTGTAGAGGGGCAGTCCAGTGGCTCAGTGGTTTAGAGCCACCTTCAGCCCAGGGTGTGACCCTGGATGAATAAATATAAAAAATCTTTTTTTTTTTTTAAAGATACTTTGTAGAGGATGTACTTCAGAAAGAAAAATTACCTCAGAGGGAAAGTCTGATATGTAAGAAGAAAAAAGAAACAAATAAATTGTAAACATGTCAGTTTATCTAAAATAACATTTTGTAAAATAACACTAGACAACAAAAGAGAGTGTAAGTGATCTATCAGTTGAGACCCCATAATAGGGTTTGCACTCAGCAGGGAGTCTGCTTGGGATTCTCTCACTTCCCCTGCTCATGTGCATGCAAGCACACACACTCTCAAATCTTAAAAAAAAATTTGTTTTGGTTATCTCTAGCATAGATTATTGCACCATTTCATTTTTCTCTTCAGGTTCTTAGCCCTATTTACCCTCCACATATTGTCAAGGCCAACATCCTAAAATGCAAATATGCCCACTTTCTTGATTAATTAATCTCGCAGCTCATCCTTCATATTGCAATGTCCCAGATTTGGTTAAATATATAGAGTATGTGTTCCCAGAATGTATCTTGTCACAAAAGTGGTAGAACAGTCTCTTAGTATTAGTTGTGGTAAAACAACCACTTAGGATTAGGAAACAATGGTATTTACATCAGATCATCCAGGTTCATGTCCTGGTCTTCTAGTTAACTGTGTGGATTTGTAGCAAATTGTTTAACATATGCAGCTGTAAAATGGAGGTAAAAATTGTTAAGCACTTCAACAGGTTGTGAATGCATGCAGTGCATGGCACCCAAGTAGATGCTCAATAGATATGGTCTGTTACTGTTGTGGTTTATCATATGCTATTTCTGTGCCCTTCGACTTAGATTAGTATATGTTAAATATTGTTTGTATTGCTATTCAGGATAACATTGTAATTGATTACTTCTCAGTGTCTCAAATACCCCTTCAGTAAGTTCATGGTAGAAGCTGCCTTACTCTTCTTTGCTTACCTAGAGGCTTGCATGTTATGCGGTACTCAATTATGGTAGCAACTGAGCCGCAAGCAGAATCCAGAAGCCTGCCATGGTCTTAGATGAATGATGGTGGTCGCATTATCATGAACTCGCCCTCACTTTGGACAAGGTAAAATAACTTCGATTTTTTAAAAAGATTTTATTTATTCATCCATGGGACAGAGACACACACAGAGAGGCAGAGACACAGGCAGAGGGAGAAGTAGGCTCCATGCAGGGAGTCCGACGTGGGACTCGATCCCGGAACTCCAGGATCACGCCCTGGGCCAAAGGCAGACGCTCAACCGCTGAACCCCCCAGATGTCCCGGTTTTTGGTTTTTTAGAACATTATATTACTGATTCTGATCTGCCCTTTCCCACCCATACCCAAATAAATTGTGTTCCACAAGAGAAAAAGAATACTATTCTACTGCTACTATTACTATACACACACACACCCTTGTGAGCAATGAGAGGCTCACGGGTACCGAGGGGCAGCCTGCAGAGAAAGCAAGCCCGACCAGAGAGATGGTGGTCGGTTTATTGCAGGATCCAGACCTTTCTTGCAGCTGCAGCTCTGGACACGGCAGGATCCTTGAGAAAACAGAAACACACGTTTGCAGAAGCCTGCGAGACAGCTGGAGAATCCACTTAGAGTTGGAACGTAGGGTTTCTCCACGCCGCATGTTTTCCAGCGACACGTTCCCTTACGTGCCCCGGGGACCCCCCCTTCCCCAGGCCGCCCCCCATCTCCCGCGAGCGTCGGATTGGACGCAATTTTCCCCCGCACCGCGTCTTTAAGCACAGCTGGGTCCGCCCGCGCACGCGCACTGCCGCCGGCCCGGGCGATCCCGGTTCCCAGCGCTGAGTGTCCGGGTTGGTTTCCGCTGCTTCCGGTTTTCCGGGCGCCGGTGCGGCCTCTGAGTTTCCGCCGCATCCGGCGACCCCCAGCGCGGACGGAAGCGTCGGAGCTGTGGGGCCGGGCCGAGCGTCTCTTCCTTCCACTCCGGCCGAGGCTTTGTCGCTGCGGGCCGGGCCCCGGGGCGCCCCCGATGGCGGGGCAGCGGGTGGAGGTGGACGGCGGGATCATGGAAGGGGTGAGTGAGTGGCCCGGTGGCGCTGCAGGACTCCGCTAGGGAGGCGTGCGTCCCTGTCTGACGCGGTCTTCTCCCTCTTCTCGCACCCGCACCCTTGGCAGGGCGGCCAGATCCTGAGGGTGTCTACAGCCCTGAGCTGCCTCCTGGGCCTCCCCTTGAGGGTACAGAAGATACGAGCCGGCCGCAGCACGCCGGGCCTGAGGTGAATCGGGGCGCTGGGGGTGGGGACGGGGGAAGGGGGACGGGGGTGGGGCTCGCTGAAGGCGGGGACCGGGGACCGGCTGCGTGCTTGGGGCCTGCGGTTGGGGTCGCGCTGTGTGGCGGGGGCATTGAGAGCCGGGGTGGTGGTGCTTGCAGGATCTCGGCCCCAAGGTTGAGGGATCTGAAGCCGGGCCCAGAGCCCCGGGGGACCAAGCTCCTGCCCGGGCCGTTAGCGGTAGTCGGGACTGTGCGGCCTTGAAGGCCTCGAGGGGCAAGTTGAGAAAACAGACCTACGTGGTTTTTTTTTTTTTTTTTTAAGATTTCATTTATTTATTCATGAGAGACACACAGAGAGAGGCAGAGACACAGGCAGAGGGAGAAGCAGGCTCCTGCAGGGAGCCCGACGTGGGACTCGATCCTGCGTGTCCAGGATCACGCCTTGCGCCACAGGCGGCGCTAAACCGCTGAGCTACTCGGGCTGCCAAGACCCACGTTTTTTCTAGAGTTTCTTAGAGTTCTCTAGCTTCCTGATGAGCGGTCACTTGAAATGTTTTCTCACGTTATTGGGCATTCCAAGTACCTGGAGAGGTTGCGGCAGCGAGTGAGATGGATCCGGGCAAAACGCCGCTTTTTTAACCAGTGTATTCTCTGCCGCTGCGCCTTTTAGAATCATAGCTCAAGAAGGGATCCTGGAAAAAAAAAAAAAAAGAAGGGATCCTGAGAGGTGTTATTCTAGCTTTCATTCAGACCTCTAAGATGTTAGGAGTACAATCAGAATTACCAGCTGTGGACGGGTAAAGACGTTGACACTTGACCTTGTTTCTTCTGTCTGGGAAGCTAGGCGTGTCACTGGCTAAGGTCCAGGTATCTGTGCCTGTTATCAGGGCACCCAGGTTGAAGCCAAACTGATTCCTTTGGACATTGTAATAGATCAGCAATCTCTTCGTCTTTTATTTTATCCACATCCCATTTTGGAGTCATTAAAAGGCAATTATTGATGTTTGTGAACATTACCTTAGTCAGAGCAGTTTTTTGCAGCAGTTTCACCAATAGGAAAATCCAGTTCATTAAGGCTGTTTTAGGTACTTCATTAGTTTGCCAGAGCTGCCATAACAAAATGCCATAGACTGGGTAGCCTAAGCAACAAATTTATTTTCTCATTGTTCTGAAGCCTGCAGGTCCAAGATCAAGGTGCTGGCAGGGTTGGTTTCCTCTTAGTGCCATTCGGGAAAATTCTTTCCGGGTTTCTCCTTGGCTTGGAGATGGCCTCTCTCTTGCTGCCACTTCACATGGTCATCCTTCTGTGCATGTGTACCCCTGATGTCTCTGTATGTCCAGATCGCCTCTTTTTGTAAAGACACCACAGACAATGGATTAGGGCTTACCCTAACTGCCTCTCTCTCTTTTTTTTTTTAATATTCTATTTTTAAGTAATCTATACCCACCATGGGGATTGAATTTACAACCCCAAGATCATGAGTCCCATGTTCTGCTGGTAGAGGCAGCCAGCTGTCCCTTATCTCTTTTTAACTTAATCACCTCTTTAAAAGCCCTAACTCAAAATAAAATAAAATAAAATAAAGTAAAATAAAATAAAATAAATATAAAATATAAAATAAAATAATAAAAGCCCTAACTCTAAATACAGTCACATTCTGAGGTACTAGGGGTTAGGGCTTCAACATAAGAATTTTATTTTATTTTATTTTATTTTATTTTATTTTATTTATTTATTTATTTTTTTCAACATAAGAATTTTAGAGGAATGCAATCATCCCATAACAGGTACTATACATCATTCAATGACATGTAAGTGAGATTGGTAGTATTGGGATAGTTTTTTCAGTTTTCCTCTTTGCATACTTCTCATTTGCAACAATGCATCATTGTAGGTGTTTTTAGCTAAAGTAAGTGGTTTGGAAAGAACCCTCAAAGTAGTACCTCTAAGCAGGTAGTCAAGGTACATAAAAACCCAAAAGAAGCTCTGATACTGAAGATATAGCACTTGTTGTGGTTGGACCTTGCTCTTTTCTTGCCATTGCAGTTTCATAAATGGGTCATAAAGTAATGGGGATATAGGCAGTCTGAATGCACACGTTTTGATGCAGTATTATGACCTGAAGGCCTCAACATTTATCTGGACTGGAAATGATTCGAGATTTGTGTGATGGGCAACTGGAGGGGGCAGAAATCGGCTCAACGGAAATAATATTTACACCAGAGAAGATTAAAGGTGGAATCCACACAGCAGATACCAAGACAGCAGGGTATGTGTCACTTACGTTCCATGTAAGTATGGGCTTTAGAGTAAGGGTTCGGGTACTGGTACTATCATTACTAGGCAAGTTGCTTAACCTCTTTGGGCTTTAGTTTCCTCAATTTTAAAATGGAAATGAAACACTAATCTTTCTGGGATAGAGATTATGTAGTTTTGGGGATCTAATTGCTTATCAATTATAGCTACCTAGAATTTTGTGTATAGTATAGTGCATTTGTTTCTTTTTATTATATGAAAACAGTATTGGAAAATGATGAAATCTACACTCTAGTAAGAGTAGGTAGTTTTTGCATTGTATGTAGCATATTTAATTCTTAGCTTGCAGCTGATTATGGGCCATTCTACTTTTAGTCTAGGTATTTTGTTGTCTTTTAATAGATGATTATGCTATCCTGTTTAGAAATGGTTAGATATGATCTTGGGGCTTTTCCGCCCTTTGGAAAATGGATATTTAACAATTAAATTGAGACTTTATCCTTTTCCAAGAATTCTTCCTTTTGTTGATAACACATGTGAGTACTTTTTGTGTTTTCTGGGTTATTTGGCTGATTGCTATTGTAAACCATATTGTTTTTACCAAAATCTTATCCATTTACTAGGAAATTTGATAAAATAACCTAGTAATGTAAATCTGGTGCCAGTTTGTTTCAGAAACTTTTTAAATAGATTTTGATTAGTTTATGAAAATGTTGAGTGGGGTGCTGGATGTCTCAGTTGGTTAAGTGTCTGCCGTTCCCTCAGGTCATGGTCCTGGGGTCCTGGGATCCAGCCTGCTCAGCAGGGAGTCTGATTCACCTTCTCCCTCTGCCCCTCCCCCTTGCTCTTGCTCTCTTGCTCTCTCTCTCAAATAAATAAAATCTTTTTTTTTTTTTAAAGGTAATGTTTAGTGGTAATTGAGACTTGAGTGATGCTATGAGTAGACCTCTGAAAAGGGGCTTGCTACTAGGCCTAAAGTGAGGTTTGCCAAGTGAGAACTTTCGAGGGGATTAAAGAATTTTGAGGTATCTTTGTAGTCAGTACATTATTTGGGGTATTCTTCTGTACTAAAAGGGGGGAAGTTATAATTAACCAACTATCTAAAAATTGAAACAATAGAATTTTGAAGTTGCAAGAGAGAAAATAGAAACCATGTATTTCCAATCCTTCCTCCACTTTGTGAATGAGAGAATAAAGACCTAACATCCTGGGTCAAGTGATTTACCTAACATCATGGAATCAAGGACAGAATTAGATTAGAATGTAGGGTTTATGGCTTCTAATCCACTAGACTGTATGGGAAATTAATTTAAAGTTGCGAATGCAGCTCTGTTCAGGAGACTAAGCCAAGCTTTTTCCCAGCAAGAGAACATACCTTACTTATTCACATTCTAACATTTGTATCCTTAACTATGATTATAGTACCATGTGTTTTCTTAGATGTCTACCTTTGTTTTTGCAATTTCTTACTCTACCAAAATTAAGATTTTCTTTCTTTTTTTTTTTTAAGATTTAATTTCTTTATTTGACAGAAAGAGCACAAACAGGGAACTGGCAGGCAGAGGAAGGGAGAGGCAGGCTCCCCTCTGAGCACAGAGCACAACATTGGGCTCGATCCCAGAACCCTGGGATCATGACCTGAGCTGAAGGCAGACTGACTGAGCCACCCAGGCACCCCTCTTTTTTTTTTTAAGTTTGTTTGTTTGTTTATTTATTTAATTTATGAGAGATCCAGAGAGAGCACACAAGTGAGCAGTGGGGAGGGCCAGGGGGAGAGGGAGAGGCAGGCTCCCCAGTGAGCAGGGAGCCCAACTCAGGGCTCTATCCCAGGACCCTGGGATCATGATCTGAGCCAAAGGTAGATGCTTAACCAGTTGAACCATCCAGGTACCCCTAAGGTCTTTTTTACTGTTCATACAGTCTGATTTTATTTGGGGCAGTGGGAGAACACTTTAAATGTTGGGTTCCGGGCAGCCCTGGTGGCTTAGCGGTTTAGCGCGCCTGCAGCCCAGGGTGTGATCCTGGAGACCCTGGATCGAGTCCCACGTCGGGCTCCCTGCATGAAGCCTGCTTCTCCCTCTGCCTGTGTCTCTGCCTCTCTCTCTCTCCCCTCTGTGCATTCTCATGAATAAATAAATAAAATCTTTAAAAAAAAAATGTTGGGTTCCTCAGAGGAAATAAACACTGAGAAGTTCAGTAGTTTTTACCTTATGGTTTACTGTAAACTGAACATTTCCGAGTTTTTTCACTTGCTCCTCACTTGCTTGATTCCTTAAGAACAGGGATTATATTGTATATGTTTTCTCTTATACTACCTAACACTTTATGCAGTCTGTAAATGTTTAGTAAATTAATGAAATGCATTATCAGTGATAGACTGTTTATTTCAACACATATACATTGCTACCATGAGAATGTTAAGTGAAGGTCTGTCTTGGTATTATAGGCTATGTCAAATCTATATTACAATCTGTATATGAATGCGACAGCTTACTTAGAAAATCTGACCAAGTGTTTCATTTTATAAAATACTTCATATTCTAGAATTATTTCTCATAGTTTCTCACATTATTTTACTCTAATGACCAAACAGAGATAAGTTACAGATTAGTTCCAAGTAAAATATTCAGCTATCAGTCTTTGTAAAATACTATTTTATCAGATCATAAACTCCATGATAGTAAGCACTGTATCTTAACTTGATACAATGCCTTGAACAATGCCTATGCCTGGGAAAGATTCAGATGTAATTATTTAAGTATTTCTAGACTTTGACTTCTGTGTGTATAACTATCTGTTATTGTACAAAAAGTTAATACAATTTAATTGATTCTATTTCCTATGCTATATTTTTAGACTTTGACAGTATTAAATACATGTTCAAAATTGCACTCTCAGAAATCCTTTTATAAAAACTTAAAAATAATTTTATTTTTTAAAAATTCTTTTTTTTACTTTGTGAGTTAAAGATCACAGAACTAATGTATTGAATTCAAACTTAGATTTGCTGATCATTTAAGGCTAGTTCCTTCTATTATGGAAATTCTGTCTTTAAGATTCTGGATTTTCTTAGTTAGGTGGGGTGGGGTTTTTTTTTTTCTTAAAGTAAGCACTTCTTCCAGTGTGGGGCTCAACCTCATGACCCCCAGATCAAGAGTTGCATGCTCTACTAACAGATCTAGTCAGGTATGGCCCCCCTTTTTAATGGGGTGTTTTTAAACTTTAGACTTGAGGATATATACCTGTTTTCCCAGTTGTCTATGCCTCAGCTGATGGTGATGTGTAGTAATACCATGTTCTTGAGACTTTAAAAAGAAAATGCAGCTAACCCTGTTTTGCCTTCTCTTTAGGAGTGTGTGCCTCTTGATGCAGGTCTCAATGCCCTGTGTTCTCTTTGCTGCTTCTCCATCAGAACTACGTTTAAAAGGTGGAACGAATGCTGAAATGGCACCACAAATTGATTACACAGCCATGGTAAGGGCTTTTGTTGTTGTTGATGAACTAAGATGACCTCATATATTCTTCTGAATCTCCATTCTCTATTTAATATACCCTGAGTTGTTTGTGTACATACCTGTTTATTTCTTTATGGTGTCTAGTTCTGTTGTGGGAAAGGGTAAGGGATTGTGTTTACTTTTAGATTTTGTGTTGTATTTTGAACAGTGTTCATAGTGAATTATTTTAAAACCTCAAGTATAATTGTTACAGAAATTATATTACTTCCATAAATCAGTAATTTATAAATATCAGAATTATGATTTGGAAGAAAAAATTAGAGAATTAAACATTGTGTTTGATAAGAGTTGGTGAGGATGTTGAGAAATTGGAACCCTTGCATACTGTTAGTAGAAATGCAAAATGGTGCAGCCACTAAGGAAGACTGAAGATTCCTCAAAAAATTAAAAATAAAACTACCATATGACCCAGAAATCCTCTTTTGAGTATTTACCCAAAAGGATTGAAATCAGGGTCTTGAAGAGATATTAGCATTCCCATGTTCATTGCAGTACTATTCATAATAGTCAAGGTGGGAAAACAATCTAAATGTCTGTTGATGAATGGATAAAGAAAATGGAGCATATACATACAGTGGAATACTATTCAGCCTTAAAAAAGACATTGTAGGGTGCCAGAGTGGCTCTGATTAAGTGCGTTAGACTCAGGTTGTGATCCTGGGGTCCTGCTTCTCCCTCTGCCTTTCTATGTCATAAATAAATACATACATACATCATACATATATACATGAATACATACTTAAAAAAAAAGACATTCTAGAATATTTGACAATATGAATGAACCTTGAGGACATTATGCTAAATGAAATAACCAGTCACATGAAGACAAGTACTAGTTTAATTCCACTTTTATGAGATATTTAAAGTAATCAAATCCATAGACTCAAAGAGTAGGATGGGGTAGAGGGAAGGGGGAATAAAGAGTTATTAATCAACAGGCATAAAATTTCATTTAGGCAAGATGAGTAAGCTGTAGAGGTCTGTACAACATTTACATATAGTCAACAGTATATTATGCACTTAAAATTTTGTTAAAAAGGTAGAGCTCATGTTAAGTGTTCTTTTTTTTAAAAGATTTTATTTATTTATTCATGAGCAACACAGAGAGAGAGGGAGAGGCAGAGACACAGGCAGAGGGAGAAGCAGGCTCCTTGCAGGGAGCCCGATGTGGGACTCGATCCCAGGTCTCCAGGATCACGCCCTGGGGCTGTAGGCGGCGCTAAACTGCTGCACCACTGGGGCTGCCCAAGTGTTCTTTTCTCAACAAAGATAAAATTAAAAAAATTTAAGTACCATATTTTGACTGTAAATTTTGAAAATGATTAAGTGTGCTTATACAGTTAGTAGGAGAGAAAAATGGTGTCTTTTTTTTTCCTCCAAGTTTTTTATGGTTTAATTATAGCAAAATTCATCTTTTTAGTGTACAGTCCCATGATTTTTGACACATAGTTGCAAGCCAGCCACCACCATCAAGATACAGAATTACTGTAAAAAAATTCCCTTGTACTCTGTGTAGTCAGTCCCATGCCCTGGCCCTCGGCAACTACTGCTCTGTCTTGTATAATAGTTCTTACCTTTTTTCTCTGAATGCCACATAAAGGAATAATATTGTATGCAGCTTTCTGCGTCTTTTTTTTTCCACTTACCATAATATGTTTGAGATTCATCTCTGTGACTTGTTTTAGCAATAAAAGCTAAGTAGTATTCTATTATATGGATGTCCCAGTATGTTAAGCCATTCATCTGTTTGAAGGACATTTGGACTGTTTCCAGTTTTTGGCAATATGGAAATGTCACTATTAACATTTATTTACAGGTTTTTTACGTGAACATAAGTTTTCATTTCTTTTGGATAAGTTCAAGGAGAGGGATTGCTGGTAATAGTAAGTATATATCTAACATTGTGGCATACTGCCAGATTGTTTTGGTATCCAATGTGGCTGCATTGTTTTGCATTTTCACCAGCTCTGTATATAGTTTTAGCTATTCTGCTTCTCTCCAACACTTGATATTTAATTTTTTACCATTTTAATACATAGTATAATCTTTTAAAAAAATTTTTTTTAGAGGGAGAGCTTGGTGGGGGTGGGGAGGGGCAGAAGGAGAGGGAGAGAGAATCTTAAGCACGTTCACACCTCACACCCAGCATGGAGCTTAACAGATGGCTTGATCTCACAACCTTGAGAATGTGACCTGATCCAAAATCAAGAGTTGGATGCTCAACCAACTGAGCCACCCAGGGTCCCCTGGATGGTACAGTCTTTTAAAATCTACTTTGATAGGATTTGTAATGAAACTTAGTCTCAGGAAATGAACCTAATTAAATATTACAGACTGCAGCAAAAGATAAATGTTAAAGGTATTTGAGCAGAGCATTTATATAGTAATCATTACATAATATATAATTACATAAAAATGAAAACTTAGAGAATGGTTGAATAAGTTATTATGCTAGAATGTCATACAGTTATTTAAATATAGTTTAGAAAGACTTTTAGGATGTCAGGAAAAATGCTTCTGTTTATAACATTAGATGGAAAAAATGAGGGTAAACATTGTATGTGCAGTGAGGGTTCAATGTATAAAAGAATTGAGAAGGCAGGGATGCCTAGTTGGCTCAGTTAGTTGAAAGTCCAAATCTTGATTTTGGCTCAGATCATGATTTCAGGATCATGGGATTGAGCCCCATGTTGGGCTCCATGCTGTGCATGGAACCTGCCTGGGATTCTCTCTCTCCCTCTCCTTCTGTCCTTTCCCTATTGATGTTCTCTCTCTCTCTCTCTTTTTCTCTCTCTCAAATAAGTAAATAAAACTTTAAAAAATTGAGAAGGCAGAATGGAATGCTGTTCACTAATATCCTCTAATTTCTTATGCGTTATATTACTGAAAGGTTAGGATATATTATTGTGTGGAGTAAAATAACTACTAAGATCAAGTATCCTGAGTTCTGACATTTTTTTTTATTAGACAGCCCTGATTAATTAAATGTTAAACTTTTAGTTTACCTATTGGTTATTTTATTTGAAAAACAGAACTAGCCTACACATTTTTACGTACTAGCTCAGTGCAGAGCACTTTTGTTTAATAAATATGCTTGTTGAATCACTGAATATTTATGGTTAAAGTAACAATAAACTGATGTTTCAGGTTTTCAAGCCAATTGTGGAAAAATTTGGTTTCCAATTTAATTGTGACATTAAGATGAGGTAAGTTACTTATTTGTTAACCCTTTGGCCCACTATTTATACTTAAAATAGTGGGGAATTAGACCTTAGAGAATTATTCTGGAACCTACTACTTCTTGTAATAATTAGAAAATAATTGTAGGAAATAGGGATCCCTGGGTGGCGCAGTGGTTTGGCGCCTGCCTTTGGCCCAGGGCGCGATCCTGGAGACCCGGGATCGAATCCCACGTCGGGCTCCCGATGCATGGAGCCTACTTCTCCCTCTGCCTGTGTCTCTGCCTCTCTGTCTCTGTGACTATCATAAATTAAAATAAAAATAAAAAGAAAAGAAAAGAAAAGAATTGTAGGAAATACAATTTATAGGAAATAATTATGCTTTGTGCTTAAAAACAGTAAGTGGCAGGGGCATGGGATCTTAAAAGCAGATAGATATGCTATTTGCTTGTTTTTAGGGAGAAATATTTTTAAGGGAATTGCTACACTGAGGGGACCTTCATATCGAGTGTTATCCATGCTCAGCAAAGATGGAGTACTTTCTCTGTGCAAACAACTGGACTAGGCACTACAGGGTCATAAAAGGGATTTTCCTCTACAGTGCATGCAGAATTATTTTCCTAAGAAACACATTGGACATTCAGATTATTTCTCTTCAAGCCTTCCCTTCTGTCACATGATAACAAGGCCAGATTTCTTGGTGTGGCATTTAAGTGTGCTGCAATCCTGTTCCAGTTTACCTTTCTAGCATCAGTCCCTTCCCTTGCCCCCATGCATTCTAATGTGTTGACTTGCTCTTTAACCGTACTTTGTGCCTCTGGGCTTTCATTTCTTTATGTTTTTCCTCCCCTCCTTTCTTAAAAACTGGAAGTCCTATATTTTTTTCAAAATGTAACTAGTAATTTCTTTTATTTTTTAATTAAAAAAATTTTTTGTGACTTATAATTTCTTGTGTGAATTGTCCATGGGTATATCTCAATTGGAATTCATATTTGCATCTCTCTTGTAGTCTTTTTTACAGTCTGATGTCTTCTAGTAGGTTGCTTATAGAACCATCTCTTGATTGGATGGGGAGCTCCTTGTGGATAGGAGCACTGTTACTCTCATCTTTATGTTCCCAGCATCTTCCATAAAACAAATGACAATATTGGAGTTAAAATTTTGTTAGAAAAAAAAATTTTTTGTTAGTGTCCAGTTACTTAAATATTCGTCATATATTTACTGAGTACCTCCTACTTACCAGACATTGTTTTAGGGCACTGCAATATAGCAGCAACAAAATAGACAAAGTTCTGCTATCAAGGAGCTTAAATTCAAAAACAGCACTGTCAAAAAGAACTTTCTGCATTGAGGGAAATGCCCCGTCTGTCCAATATAGTAGTCACTAGCCACACATGACTACTGAGCATTTGAAATGTGGCCAGTGTGACTGGGGAGCTGAGTTTTAAATTAAATTTAAATTTAAATAGTCACATGTAGTTTGTGATTACCATATTGGACACTATTACTTAGAAATTTGGAACATGAATTATATGTTTGGATATCATTCACAGGTTATTTTATTGTAAATGTTTAGCTTTATTTTTGTTACAATCAGTTTATGTGAGTATTTGTCATACTTTTTATAGAGGCTACTACCCAAAAGGGGGTGGTGAAGTGATTGTCCGAATGTCACCAGTTAAACAGTTGAACCCAATCAATTTAACTGACCGTGGTTCTGTGACTAAGATATACGGAAGAGCTTTTGTTGCTGGTGTTTTACCATTTAAAGTAAGTTGTCTGGAAGTTTATGTGGGTCTTGGTATTATGTCATCAAAATTTTGAAATTATTAAAAGCACTTAATTTTTTTAAGATCTTATTTTTAAGTTTGCTCTGTGCTCAATATGGAGCTAGAACTTAAAACCCCGAGATCAAGAGTTGCATGCTCCACTCCATGGGATGCCTGGGTGACTCAATTGGTTAAACATCTGAGCCTTTGGCTCAGGTCTTAATCTCAGCATTTTGGGATTAAGCCCTGTAGCATCAGGCTCTCTGCTCAGAGGGAAATCTGCTTCTCCTTCTCCATCTGTTCTCTCTCTCTCAAGTAAATAAATAAAATCTTAAAAAGAAAAAAAAAAAGAGTTGCATGCTCTACCAATTGAGCCAGCTAGGTACCCCTAAAGCACTTAATTTTTTAATATTTTCATTAAAAATTTTTTTGTAAACATTTATGCTCTTTACTCTTGAAAATCTAGTTTTTATATAATGCATGTAAAAGTTACTAATTATGTTTCTTTGAAGGCTTGAAAACAATTGTCAAAATAATTATTAACTTATTTTATTCTTATTTTTCTGTCTTGCCAAAATAGGTAGCAAAAGATATGGCAGCGGCAGCTGTAAGATGCATCAGAAAGGAGATTAGGGATCTGTATGTTAACATCCAGCCTGTTCAGGAACCTAAAGACCAAGCCTTTGGCAATGGGAATGGAATAATGTGAGACAATACACTTTTTCCTGGATACTGATTGAGAGCTCTGAAATAATTATTCTGTTTGAATTAAAGATTTGTGGTTTTTTTAAGTATTACAGTTCTAAAAATGCATATTTTTAAGGACATTCCTACCTAAAACAACAGTATGATGAATTAAAATGATTATTTTATTCTGAATTTTTTTCCTAAGGATGGTTTGCTTTTTCTTACATTGTAAGAGTCTTTTCAGTCTTAAGCTAATCAGAAGTTAGCCTTTGAAGCTGATCCTGAGAGAAATATTTCCAGTTGTTTTTCTATACCTCAACTGTGAAGTCCATTTACATGTAAATATTAGATAGGCAAAGGTCTATTTAGAAAAGAATTACATTAATTTAATTAGGAATTACTGATTTAAATATAAAAATGCTTGGGGTGCCTGGGTGGCTCAATCAGTTAAGCATCTGCCTTCAGCTTAGGTCTTGATCTTGAGGTCCTGAAATCGAATCCCATGTCAGGCTCCATGCTCAGTGGAGTCTGCTTCTCTTTCTCCCTCTGTCTCTCCTCCTGCTCATGCTCTTCACCCATGCTCTCTCTCTCTCTCAAATAAATAAATTAAAAAAAAAAAAGCTAAAAAAAATATAAAATGCTTCAATTGATCTTTTGAGTATCTCTTGTGGATAAAAAGCCTCGTTTTCAGAGTTTCTATTAAAGGGTTTATTTATTTTTTTATTTTATTTATTTATTATAGTCATCACAGAGAGAGAGAGAGAGAGGCAGAGACACAGGCAGAGGGAGAAGCAGGCTCCATGCAGGGTGCCCGACGCGGGATTCGATCCCGGGACTCCAGGATCGTGCCCTGGGCCAAAGGCAGGCGCTAAACCGCTGCGCCACCCAGGGATCCCCTATTAAAGGGTTTAAATGCATGTTCATTTGCTAATACTACCTAAAAACTGTAAACCAAACCAAACATTTCTGTAGAAAGATTTTTTTCTTTTTTTATTGAAGTATAGTTGACATACACTGTTAGATTAATTTCAGGTGTGTGGTATAGTGAATTGACAATGTTCTGTTTTGCTTATCACAAGTGTATCTTCCATCTGTCACCTTACAATACCATTATAATACCACTGACTATATTCCCTATCTGTACCTTTCATCCTTGTAGACTTACTCTACAAAACTGGAAGCCTGAATCTCCCATTCTCTTCACTTATCTTGCCCATCTCCCATCCCTTCCCCTCTGGCAACCATCATTTTGTTCTATATCTGTGGGTCTGTTTGTGTGTTTGTTTTGTTTTTTAGATTCCATGTATAAGTAGAATTGTGTGGTATTTGTCTTTCTCTGTCTGACACTTAGTCTGTTGCTTTCTAGGTCCACCCATGTTGTCACAAATGGTAAAACCTCATTCTTTTTTATGGCTGAGAAATACTCTATTGTGTGTATATGTACCACATCTTTAGCCATTCATCTGTTATGGACACTTGAGTTGCTATTGGCTATTGCAATTATTGATAGATAGTACCATTTTGTTAATTGTTTTCTGGGTGTTTTTGTAGTCCTGTTTCTTCTTTTCTTGCTCCCCTTGTGATTGATGACTTTTGGTAATGTTCTTTCTCTTGGTCTTTTATCTTCTGTGTATCAAAGTTTTAGTTTTGTGGTTTCCTTGAGGTTTATGGATAACATCCTAAGTATTATAGCAGTCTATATTAAGTTGGTCACTTAAGTTTGAACACATAAAAAGACCTTTTCATTTTAGATAATTATAAAACCCTTCGTATTTTTAATTTTTATTGAAGATTTTTAAAAATTATTTATTTTAGAGAGAGAGGAAGAGGGAGAGAGAGTGTGAGTGGAGGGAGGGGCAGAGGGAGAGAGAGATCCCAAGCAGACTCTGACCTGAGCGCAGAGCCCCATGCGGGGCTCTATCTCACAACCCTGAGATTATGACCTGAGCCAAATTCAAGAGTTGGATACTCAACCGACTGAGCCACTCAGGTGCCCCTCATAGAATATTTATGGTAAAGTAGAAATGGTATCATTTAGTGTGGATGACAAAACTTCTAGAAGAGCCATTCCCTTACCTGTGAATGGATTAGAATCTAGTGTGACTTCTTGTTGGAAGTGAAGAATACTAATGCCCTCATGAAGCTGGAGAATGTTAATCATGCTGCTCTTTGTATAAAGAATTTCACTTTTGCAATATACTAGATCTAATCCTATGTACTTAATAGTCACTATTCCACTGTCTTGCATTTGCATGTAATTTTAGAATATTTATAGCATAGATAGTAATACTTCTTTTTTTCTTATATAGCATTATTGCTGAGACATCCACTGGCTGTTTGTTTGCTGGATCATCGCTTGGTAAACGAGGTACAGATAAATGAAGGGGGTCCACAATTTCTAGTGGTAACGTAAAATTTTTTAATTATCTGTCAGGACTAGAGTGTAGCAAGTGTAAAAGAATATGATTAACTGATTCTGTTTTATAGTCAGTTAATAAATTAATTAAAAAATAAATAAAAAATTAAAATTAAAAAAATATAGTCAGTTAAAATTTCAGCCTTTCTCCTGACTTTATACTTTGAAAAATCTCAAACTTATGAAAAAGTTGAATGACCAATGAACATCCATATACTGTTCTCTAAGGTTTACCAGTAGTGAACTTTTAGCTACAAGTTTGTGTGTTTTTGAACTATTTCAATATAAGTTGCAGATAGGACATCTCACCCTTGAATACTGCAGCATGGATGTCCAAAGAGCAATACCTATGTAATCACAGTACCATTTTACACCCAAAGAATTTGTCTCTTATATTCTGATATAACCAGTTCCCTCTAAAATATTTTTTAGAGCAGTGGGGCTTGTTTGTGGGTTGTTGTTGTTGTTTTTTGAGCACTTACAACAGTTGGTCATGTCTGTTTAGTTTCTTTCCTGCTACAGAATAGTTTCACCATTCTTTTTCTCTCATGATACTGACATTTTGAAAAGTCCAGTTATTTTCTCATTGGATTTCCTACAATTTGGATTTGTCTGGTTGTCTCATGATTAGATATCTTCTGGTGAAACATTTTTAGTAGGAATAGGTGACTGTGTACATTCCATTTTACCACAGCAGGGTTGATGATAATGTCAGTTTGTCCTTTATTGGTAAAGCTAACTGTGATCAGTTGGTTAAAGTAGTGTCCTCCAGGTCTGTCCGCTATAAATACTTTCCTTTTGTATAAGTAATAAGTCATCTGGGTTAGTACTTTGAGACCATCTGATTATCTTATTCCTTTTTTTTTTTTTTTACTTATTTATGATAGTCACACACACAGAGAGAGAGAGAGAGAGAGAGAGAGGGCCAGAGACACAGGCAGAGGGAGAAGCAGGCTCCATGCACCAGGAGCCTGATGTGGGATTCGATCCCGGGTCTCCAGGATCACGCCCTGGGCCAAAGGCAGGCGCCAAACCGCTGCGCCACCCAGGGATCCCTGATTATCTTATTCGTATACAACTTTCATTCAATGGTTTTAGCGTCTATTGGTGACTCTTCCCTGCATCAGTCATTATATTGGTGGTTTCAGAAAACTGAATTTTTTAAAAGATTTTATTTATTTATTCATGAGAGACACACAGAGAGAGAGGCAGAGACACAGGCAGAAGAGAAGCAGGCTCCCTGCAAGGATCCCAATGTGGGACTCGATCCTGGATCCCGGGATCACCCTCTGAGCCAAAGGCAGATACTCAACTGCTGAGCCACCTAAGTGTCCCAGAAACTGAATATTTTTATGAAAGGGAAATGTAGTTAAGATTTAATATATTTAGGAGAGGAGATATGTGTGTACATCTGATTGTTAATATTTGAAGTTACTTTTGCCATTGAGGTGACTTCTAGTTGGATTTCTTGTTTGGATAGCCAACATATCAGCATCATCTGGGAGTTTGTTTTAAATACAAGTTTGGGGGTTCATTTCATACCTCCTAAATTAGAATCTCTGGAAGTGGACCCAAAGATCTGTTTTAATTAGCTCACCGGATACTTGTGAGGTATAATGAAGTTCAAGAAGTAATGACCAAAAATAAACATTTAGAGTACACTGATTACTTGTTAGGTCTAGTGAAGCATCATTGTGGATAGTGATAGTGAGCCTAACAGTCTAGAGAAAGCAAAGGTAATGCAAAATATAAAATAGAGACCAGGAGCCCATGTAAGTAATGAGTGCTGGGCAGACATGCAGACATTGAGTAGAATGAATTCATTGGGTACCACCATGTGCCAGGTAGTATATACTAGGGTCACAGATGTGAGAGCCACTCGTGTTTCCTGGCTTAGTATGGCAGAGGAGACAGAAGAGGCAATGATTTTGGTATTCCCAGGGTATCATAGGAACACAGGGGAAGAACAGCTAATTCAGCTTTGGGGGCCAGTTGACCCGAAATCTGGCTTCTGCCATTCAGCAATCCTCCAGTGGGTTCTGTAGATTAGTACAAATTAGCCAGGGACACCTGGGTGGCTCAGCAGTTGAGCATCTGCCTTTGGCTCAGGTCATGATCCCAGGGTCCTGGGATTGAGTCCTGAATCAGGCTCCCCAAAGGGAGCCTGCTTCTCTCTCTTCCTCTCTGTGTCTCTCATGAATAAATAAAATCTTTAAAAAAAAAAAAAAAAAAGTAGGGATCCCTGGGTGGCGCAGCGGTTTAGCGCCTGCCTTTGGCCCAGGGGCGCGATCCTGGAGACCCAGGATTGACTCCCACGTCAGGCTCCCGGTGCATGGAGCCTGCTTCTCCCTCTGCCTATGTCTCTGCCTCTCTCTCTCATTCTGTGTGACTATCATAAATAAATAAAAATTAAAAAAAAAAAGTGGAAATTAGCCAGATGTTACAGTGAGCTAAGGAGGAAGGACACAGGATAGTGCTGACATAAAAGAGTAGTGTGGGGCAGCCCAGGTGGCTCAGCAATTTAGCGTTGCCTTCAGCCCAGGGTGTGATCCTGGAGATCTGGAATCGAGTCCCATGTCGGGCTCCCTACATGGAGCCTGCTTCTCCCCCTGCCTGTGTCTCTGCCTCTCTCTCTCTCCCTCTGTGTCTGTCATGAATAAATAAATAAAATCTTAAAAAAAAAAAAGAGTAGTGTGTTCTTTGGGCAGCTACAACTCTGTGATGTGTGTAGGATCTGGAGTGGGAAAGTGCAGATGAGGTTAGAGAGGTTGAGAGATGCAAGATTTTGAAAGACTTCATAGGCCATGTAAAGGGTTTCATCACAAAAATAAAGATTTTAAGGAGGAATATAATGTCAGATCTTTCGAAAGGTAATTCTGATAGATAAATGGAGGATTAGAGGAAAACCGTATTGGAGGCAGGAGGACAAGACTTTTGTAGCTGTTCAGGTCAGAAGTGGTAAGGGCCTATACAAACGAAAGCAGTGACTCGAGTTAGAGTGGAGAGTACCAATAGCAAGGATATTAGGAGGGAGAGTAGGTATGTGGTGACCAGTTGCATATAGAAAGTTAGAATGGCAATGGGAAGAATGACCTACATTTCTAGCTCTGGTAACTAGAAACATTAACAACTTGTGATATAGGAGGTTGAACTCATTTGCCAGAGTAGATGATAGTTTTAGATATGTTGCATTGAGATTGTATAAAGCAACCAGTACTCTGTTACTGCTAGCAGTACCTAGGATATACGTTGCTGGCCAGCTCTGAAAAAATTTCTAGTATTCCATCAACACTTTTTTTCTTACTTTGTCATGTGAGACCATTTTTACTTTGAAGTTGCCTTTGGATAACATGGTTTCAGGGTACATAAAACTTATCTTTAGAGTTAGTATAGTAGGAGGGAATAGATGATAGGGCAACATTCTTACTCAGAGTGGCTCCTGCTGGTGCTCTCCCTTGTTTCCTGTTGGCACAGATGTCAAATGAGATGTCATTAGCAAATGTCAAGGCAGCATGGGGTCTTATCTCTCCATCTAGGTAGAATATATTAAGGATATCAGAGAGAATGTTGTAGCTTCCATTGTCCCCCTTCATTTCTGCTGGGGAAGAGGTCCCCTTTCATTTCTGATTGAAATTAACTGGAAAATTACCAGACCCTGAATCCTAATGTCTAAGAGTTACTACAAGAAGCAACATTAGCTGTTTGTTCATGCGTCATTTGTGGTGGAAGCAATAACCTGGAACTAGTCATGTTTGTCACTGTCACAGTCACTAAAACCATTTTGATCTTAGTTTCTTTATCTGTTGAGTAAGAGAATTAGCCTAGAGAATCTCTCAAGTCCTTCCAGCTATAACATTCTTTGATCTTGTAACAAAGGCGAGGTTTTGTTCTGTTTGAGAGTCCTGGGACTTTAGATGGAGGCAGTGTAGTCCTATGTCTGCCAGTATCCTGCATGGCAGCTGGGGGCTTTCCTTTTCTGATACATGAGATCAGACCACTGTCTGTGTATGAGGATCCCTTCCAACTTTATATGATTGCAGTATGGACAGGATATATTTTGTCTTTACATTGTTATGTATTCTTTGCCCACTCTTGTCTTTCAGTTAGTTGTGTTCTTTAAACATTTTTTTAACTTTTTTTTTTAATAGACTATTTAAGCATGGGGGGAGAGAGATAGAGAGAATCTTAAGCAGGCTCCATGCTGGGCTCCAACATGGGGCTCCTATCTCAAGACTCTGAGATCATAACCTGAACTGAAATTAAGAGTCTACCAACTGAGCCCACCAGAGGCCCCTCAGTTAGTTACTTTACTGTAGTAGCAAAACAGTCAGCTAAGGTACACTCTGATTAATCAGTCCCTGTTATCAGTGTGTGGAAATTGCTTAGGTTAGAACAAGCACTTTACTTCCCTCCTTCAGTATATGTAGGTATATGCTATATATATATATATATGCGCTAATTCATGGCATCTCTCTGATGTCCTAGAGTCAATCCTTTGGCCTTATTAATCTAATAACCTTTTTATAGTATTGTCCTTTCAATAAGCTAGAAGGTACCCAAATCATTGAATATTCATTTTAATTTGCTGGATTATAAACCATCAGTATTGAGACCTTTTTAAGAAATATCCAAAATACCAGAAGATTATTTGTCCGTTAGAAAAGCATGAAAATTTCAGAGGAAGTTAGGATTTTGCTCTTTTGTTTAGAACATAGTACCAATAAGCAGATTTCTCATATATACTTCATTTTGTTCAGTTGCCACAGACCTTTACTAATAACTGGTAATGATATAGATACATTCATACCATTATTCACTATCGGGGCCACTGGGTCAGAGGGAATGTGAGTGGCTCTGGAAAACACTTTGTCATTTGGCAGAGAAACCTTAGTACATTTCCTCTTCTCTAATACGGCCAAACCAGGAATTCTTTCCTTCTACCTCATCCTCCATCAAATTTTAGCCGTTTTCCAGCACTCACTTGAGTCCTTTATGCTCCATGAAACCTTCTTGTTCATGGGACCTTCATTGTTCTAGGACCTATAATATTTTCCTTTGCGAACTTTCACTGGGAATATAGTTTATACCTTAGAGCTTACCTGCTTATCCTCTGATTCTCCAATATATGAGTATTTCTTTATATCGTCTTAGCAAAGAAACCAGTTCCTTTTTTTTTTTTAAGATTGTATTTATTTATTCATGAAGAGACACAGAGAGAGAGGCAGAGACATAGGCAGAGGAAGAAACAGGCTCCCTATGGGGTGCCTGATTCAGGATTCAATCCCAGGACCCTGGGATCACAACCTGAGCCAACGGCAGGCACTCAACCACTGAGCCACCCAGGCATCCCGAGGAACCAGTTCCTGTTACTTAGTGTGAGACACACATACTAGATACTCAGTATTAACTATTATTACTAGCTTATTATGAACCAGTCATGGTAATATATGTTTTATAAATATTATCTCTAATTTCTTTAACAACTTTGCAGCTTATGTATTATCTCCATTTCCATCTCCACTTGGAAGAGGAAACAGAAGAGGCTGAGTAGTTGAGATTCATACCACATGTTCCAAACCACCTCATTTAGTCATGTACTTGACTGACTGATGTTGTAAAGATAATTATAATAACTGCTGTAAGGAAAAACCATTAAAATTTTGAAAATCCCCCTTTTCTAGGAAATCTTACCAAGGCATATATATAATCAAATGGATTTCCACATATAAAATAGAAATAAAAACTAACCACAGTCTCATACCTTAAAAGACCTTTTTATTTGTAGCCAGGGACTTCTTTTAGTTTAAAGTAAATAATTCAAAAGAATCATTTGAGGGGCGCCTGGGTGGCTCAGTCAATTAAGTGGCTGACTCTTGATTTCAGGTCAGGTCATGATATCAGGGTTCTGGGATCCAGCACATGTCAGGGTCTGTGCTTAGTAGGGAGCCTGCTTGAGGATTCTCTCTCCCTCTCCTGTCCCTCCGCCCCTCCTCCTTCACCCCCTCACAAATAAATAAATAAATCTTTAAAAAATAGAAGCATTTGGGGGATCCCTGGATGGCTCAGCAGTTTAGCGTCTCCCTTCGGCCCAGGGTGGGGTCCTGGGGTCCTTTGATCAATTCCCACATCGGGCTCCCAGCATGGATCCTGCTTCTCCCTCTGCCTATGTTTCTGCCTTTCTTTCTCTCTGTGTCTCTCATGAATAGATAAATAAAATCTTTAAAAGAAAAAAAAAAAAAGAAACATTTGACATTCCACTACTTTTGACAGACTTATTTTGTAGTCAGCATTATATGAAGATTTGGGGTGTATGTGTGGAGAGGCAAGGAGTAGGCATGGGGATAAATATTCTTATTTTCAAAATAAGATAATACCTGTTTAAATCTAAAGAAATAAAATTTTGGGCAGCCCCAGTGGCCCAGCAATTTGGCGCCACCTTCTGCCCATGGTGTGATCCCGGAGACCCAGGATCGAATCCTGCGTCGGGCTCCCTGCATGGAGCCTGCTTCTCCCTCTGCCTGCCTGTGTCTCTGCCTCTCTCTCTCTCTCTCTCTCTCTCTCTCTCTGTCATGAAGGAATAAAAAAAAATTATAATATTTGATGTGAGGAATTTTTTTAGATTTTTATTTATTATTTATTTGACAGAGAACACAAGCAAGGGGAGCTGCAGGCAGAGGGAAAAGCTTAGGGAGCCTGATATGGGGCTCAGTCCCAGGACTCAGGAATCATGACCGGAGCCGAAGGCAAGACACTCAACCACAGAGCCACCCAGGCACCCCTGATATGAGAATTTTATCTGCTCTTAGATGAAACTTAATTCTTTAACTTAAAAAAAAAATCCTTTAGGGCAGCCCCAGTGGCCCAGCAGTTTAGCGCCACCTTCAGCCCGGGGTGTGATCCTGGAGACCCGGCATTGAGTCCCACGTCAGGCTCCCTGCATGGAGCCTGCTTCTCCCTCTGCCTGTGTCTCTGTCTCTCTCGCTCCATCTCTGTCTGTCATGAATAAATAAATAAAATCTTAAAAAAAAATCAATTCTAATGGAATTACCTACAGACTAATTATAACACGTATAAATTGCAAATTTAAAATTTTGAAGTTGAGGCATAGTATTATGGGGTCATCACTTAGTTATAAATTGGTTTCATAATTAGTACTTTTATTTTTTTAAGATTTGTTTTGAAAGAGAGCACACAAGCAGAAAGGGCGGAGGGAGGGAGAGAGAGAGAGAGAGAATGAGAATCTCAAGCAGACTCCCATGCTGAGTGCAGAGCCCCATGCAGGGCTCAATCCCAGGACCTGAGCAAAACTAAAAGTCAGACACTTAACCAACTGTACCCATCCAGGTGCCCCTCATAACTGGTATTTTTAAAACAGGTCCAAAGCAGCCTGTTTTTTCCTCTACTGGGTTTATTTAAAGATATAAATTATTTGTATGTGCTAAGCTCTCGAAGATTGAATATACTTTAAGATCTAAAAGTTCTGTTCTGTTGGGTGAGTTCAGAGGCCTAAAAAATGTTATACCGGTGCTAACTGGGACATGTTATTTCAACTTTTTGTCTCTTCATAATTAACTTCGTTTTTTTGCATTATGTCTGTTATAGGTGTAAATGCAGACAAGGTTGGAATTGAAGCTGCTGAAATGCTATTAGCAAATCTTAGACATGGTGGTGCTGTCGATGAGTATTTGCAAGACCAGGTAATGACTCTTTTAGTATAAAAACCTTTGAACATTAAATTTGAATATTTGGTAATTAGATTGACTATAAATTTTATCTTAAGTTTTTTTATTTATTTAAATTAATCTCTCTACCCCATGTGGGGCTTGAACTCAAGACCTTGCAATCCAGAGTCACATGCTTCTCCAGCTGAGCCAGCTAGGTACCCCAGAATGAATATAAATTTTAATCATTGATTGGCTTAGTTCAGCCAGTTTTTAAATATTCTGGAATTACATTCCTCAGATTTCAGTGTTCATCTTGACCTGGCTACAGCATTTGGCCCACGTGATCACTCTTTTTTCTTGAAATACTTTCCTCACTTGCTTTCTTTTTTTAATTTTTAAATTTTGTGGAGTGGGGAGGATACAGAGGGAAAAGGAGAGAGAACCTTAAGCAGACCATATGCCCAAGATGGAGCCTGACATGGGGTTCAGTGTCATAACCCTGAGATCATGACATGAGCAGAAATCAAGAATTGTATGCTTAACCCACTGAGCCACCCAGGCACCCGTCTCTGAAACATTATTATCTTTCTTTTTCCTTGGGCGTGTATTCTAGTCTCTTGCTAGTTTGATATTACTATTGTTTTCAACTCATCAACTTCTAAATTTTGGAGAATCCGTAGGCTGAGTCTCATGCCTCTTTATCTGTGTTCACTCCCTCAGTTGTTTTGTCCAGTCTCACAGCTTACATACCATCTGTAAAAATAGAAGCATTGTTGTACAAACAACTCACAAATTTATATCACTAGCTCAGGCCTTTCTCCTTAACTCCATATTCATATCTCTCATGACTGTAGTAAGCATTTCCACTTGGACATGTCGTAGACCTCTCAAACTTAACACATCTACCACATGCTAGTGAATATTTCCAAGTGAGATCTTCTTATGGTCCACTGTCTTGATAGATTTCCTGTTTTTTCTACCACACTTTTCTCTCCTTAATCTCAGACCAGCAATCTACATTAAGAAATATTCTCTCCAGGATTTTTTTTTTTTAAAGATTTTATTTATTTATTCATGAGAGACACAGAGAGAGAGAGAGAGGCAGAGACACAGGCAGAGGGAGAAGTAGGCTCCACGCAGGGAGCCCGATGTGGGACTTGATCCCGGGACTCCAGGACCACGCCCTGGCCCTAAGACAGGTGCTAAACTGCTGAGCTACCCAGGGATCCCCTCTCTCCAGGATTTCTTAACCAGTTTCTTTCTTTTCTTTTTTTTAAGATTTTATTTTTAAGTAATCTCTACAGCCCAATGTGGGGCTTGAATTCACAACCCTAAGATTATGTGCCCAAGTTATGTGCCCAAGTTATGTGCTCCTCTGTCTGAGCTAGATAGGCACCCTTCCTCCCATCGACCCCTTAACTAGTTCTTTAAACAGTTTCCCTTATTTCTAGTCTCTTCCTTCTTAGGTGTACTCTATACTCCAAGTAATTCTGTATTAGTGTATTTATTTACCTGTTAAAATGTTGTAATTTTAGAGACTGGAAAAAGTTTGTCATATATTTCAGCTTGCTGAGGCAGTCTGATTAAATATATTAACTTTTAACTCTATATTTTTTTCTTAAACATTGATTTTTTTTTTAAGATTTTATTTATTCATGAGAGAGACAGAGAGGCAGAGATACAGGCAGAGGGAGAAGCAGGCTCCCTGCAGGGAACCCAATGCAGGACTTGATCCTGGGACTCCGGGATCATGCCCTGAGCTGAAGGCAGATGCTCAACCACTGAGCCACCCAGGCGTCCCGATTTTAGAAAATCTATGTTGACAACTGCTACTAAGCATTTCTGTACCACACCACAGACTTTGGCTGACACAGGTTTTCTATTATCTTAGGACTTCTGGAAATCTAAAGTAGAAATTCTCTTAGCTGTTTTGATTTCTAATGGTATTTTCATGTGGTAAGCAGTAGAATTTTAACTCCAAATGTTAGTAAATGTATGAAATTTTTCTTCTTTGTTCTTTTTTTTTAAATAGTTGATCATTTTCATGGCATTAGCTTGTGGAGTTTCCAGAATAAAAACAGGACCAGTTACACTCCATACACAAACAGCTATACATTTTGCTGAACAATTAGCAAAGGTGAGTATTCCATTAGAAAGAGTAATTGATTTTTATTGTAGCCAATTTTGGGTCAGATTGTAATAAACAAAAAACTTAATCATAATTGCTATCCCTCACCTAGTAATTCCTGTGTGGCTGACATTGAACTAATTCAGTAATTTACCTGCATCATCTTATTCTGCATTACCATTTTATTATTTGTTTGTTTATTTTTAAAGATTCATTTATTTGAGAGAAAGCACAAGAGCTAGGAGATGGGCAGAAGGAGAGGGAGGAGCTCAAACAGACTCCCTGCTGAGCATGGAGCCTAATAAGGAGCTCAGTCCTATGACCCCAAGATCACAACCTGAGCCAAAACCAAGAATCAGATGCTTTACTGATGAAGCCACCCAGGTGCCCTTCTGCATAACCTTTTTTTTTTTTTTTTTTTTTTTATTCATGAGACACACAGAGAGAGAGAGAGAGGCAGTGACATAGGCAGAAGGAGATGCAGGCTCCATGCGTTGGGTGGGAAGGGGGGGTCTTGTGGTCGGCCAACAAGGGAGCTCGACGTGAGACTCCGGGTCTCCAGGATCAGGCCCTAGGCTGAAGGCGGCACTAAACCAATGAGCCACCTGGGCTGCCTAGATAGTTCTTTGTTATTCTCATTTTGCATGTGAATAAAATGAGGTAGAGGAATTAAATTAATTACTCAAGACCATATAGTTTCTTAGGGGCAGAGCTGGACTTTGAGCAAATTCAGGAAAGCATACATCAGAGCTCACATGTGGTACTGCCTGCAGGATAAGGATGTTTTGGGCAGCCGGGATGGCTCAGCGGTTTAGCGCCGCCTTCAGCACAGGGCCTGATCCTGAAGACCTGGGATTGAGTTCCATGACTGCTCCCTGCAGGGAGCCTGCTTCTTCCTCTGCCTATGTCTCTGGCTCTCTCTCTCTCTGTGTCTCTCATGAATAAATAAATAAAATCTTTAAAAATATAAAAAAACAAAAAGATAAAGATAAGTTTTGATGAAAACTATGAAATTAAATCATAAGGAATTTGTAGTTGCCCATAAACTTAAATATTAATATAACATTTAAATGTTTTATTTTCTTGTGATTCTATGGTAGAATGGAATATTTGCTGAAATTTTAACACCAGCCCTCTTAACTTTTATGAGTAGATTGACAATTTTTAGTGAAATAGGGTTTAGTATTGTATAAGCTCATATTTGTACCCTTTCTATAGCATTTTAATTTTTAAAAATGACTAATATGTATATTTCATCTGTAACTAATACAATTTCCTTAGAGAAAATTTGGAAAACAAGGGGAAAAATCTTGTCATAATTCCCTTTTGCCCAAAAGCACTGTTGACATTTAGGTATTATCCTCTTAAAAGTGTTTCTCTTTGTAATTTTTTTTTTTTTACTGAATGCATACAGCTTCACTTCTTGCCTTTTTCAGTAACGCTGCATATTTCCAATTTGCTGTAATCTTTGTAATTTCATAAAGTGATATAAAATTTATAACTCAGAATTTTATGAAGGTGCTGACCTTAAGTATTTTTTAAAATTATAAAAGTAATGCTATTAAAGAAAATCTAAAATTCTAAAATTAAAAAAAATTATAGAAGTATACTAAGCACAAAGTCACTTTTTGCCTTACTCCCAACAGTTTATTTGTATGATTTTTAAGAATATATATCTTTTTTCTTATTATTAGAAAACATAGATAAGAAGCACTGTGGTGTCCAACTCTTGGTTTTGGCTCAGGTCATGATTTCATGGTCATGAGATCAAGCCCTACATGAGGCTCTGAGCTCATTGCAGAATCTACTTGAGATTCTCTTTCCCTCTTTTTCTCCCCCTCCTGCTTCTTCTCTCTCTCTTTCTAAAATAAATAAGTAAGGGCAGCCCTGGTGGCGCAGCAGTTTAGCGCCACTTGCAGCCCTTGGCGTGTTCCTGGAGACCTGGGATCGAGTCCCATATCGGGCTCCCTGCATGGAGCCTGCTTCTCCCTCTGCCTGTGTCTCTGCCTCTCTCTGTCTCTATGAATGGATAAATAAAATCTTTTTAAAAAAATAAAATAAAATAAAATAAATAAGTCTAAAACAAAAAAAGCATAGGTAAATTTTGGCTCAATTGTAGGAAAAGGCTAATAAGAATTAAAGGCAAATTATATTTGATGTCGAGAGATAGTTGACTGTATTTTTTATTTTTCCATTAGTGCTGTATTTGTAACTGTTGTCTGTCTTTGTAGACTATGATCTCCTTGATAGTAGGGACCAAGTTGTATTCATATAGTCTTTTTACAGTACTTTGCATATAGTAGACACATGTTATTTGAAATGAATACACAGTGAAAAGTGCTGTGAATTGGCATTTATAGTTCTGGTTTCTTGTTCAGCTTTGTTGTATTTTAACTGAGTGACTCGGGGCAAGCTGCTTGATCTTTCTGTGCTTCTCTGCAGATAACTGATCTATAAAATCAGAGACTGATACATAGTCCCTTAAGACTCCTTCCAACTTTAAATTTTTGTAGTTTTCAGTATGTTTATATATAGGTTAGAAATGATTTCCTTGGTTATTTATGTAATGCTTACAATGAAATATATATATATGCACATATATAATTACATAAATAATTTGAATATATAGCTTAGGATTCAATGTTTATTCATTCAACAATAATTTTCAGTGTCTAGTGTATATCAGTACACTGCCACATAATACTGAAACTGGAGTAATTTGTGAATATTACTATTCAATAGGGCCCCAGAACAATGGTTTTCAAACTGTGTTTCATAGAATCCTAAGGTTTTAGGCATATTTGAATTCCCTTTGCTACAAATTCAGCATACTCAGTTGTTTTTATTTTAATTGTTTTGTTAGAATGAACACAGTAGCTTTTTAAAAAAAATCATGTTTCCAGAATATAATGATAGAGATCTTATAGGGACACACACACAGAGAGAGAGAGAGAGAGAGGAAGAGACACAGGCAGAGGGAGAAGCAGGCTCCATGCAGGGAGCCCTATGCAGGTCTCTATCCTGGGACTCCAGGATCATTCCCTGGGCCGAAGGCAGGCTCTAAACCGCTGAGCCACCCAGGGATCCCCAGAGATCATATATTTCAAAGCCAAACTTGAATTAGTTAACCAGTAAAAAATACAATGTTAAGCCCAATAAAGATGAAGGGCCTCCCCTCACCTTTCTTTTTTGAACTAGATTTTTTTTTTTAATAGCATATTTAGGGAATTCAGTTGGCAAGAAAAATTTGAGGGAAATTAAAAACTTGATACTTGACAAAGTAGAAGTATAAACGCTTTAGTGCCATGTTTTAGAAAAAAATTTAGGAAGAAGGTAGAGAAGGTATGTTATAGTTAACAGTTAAGATTTTATTTTAATTAATTAATTAATTAATTAATTAATTAATTTGCTCATTCATTCATTCATTCATTCATGAGAGACAGAGAGAGAGGCAGGCTCCATGCAGGGAGCCCGACGTGGGAGTTGATCTCGGTACTCCAAGATCATCCCCTGGGCAGAAGGGAAGCGCTCAACTGCTGAGCCACCCAGGCATCCCCAACAGTTAAGATTTTAAAGATGATAATTGCCTAGCTTGTAAATGTCCTGGGGATTTTGATTCAGTGGATATGGAGTGGGGCTGAGGCTGTATATTCTGACAGAACTGCACAAGTACGTATTATTTCTGAATGAGAATCCTGGTTCTGGAGGAAAATATTTTATATCCAGGCTACTGAATTTCTCATGAGTCATTTGATCTTTGTGCCTCTAGCTGCTTCAGAAAAATGAGTTTGGGCAGCCAGGGTGGCTCAGCAGTTTAGCGCTGCCTTCAGCCCTGGGCCTGATCCTGGAGACCTGGGATTGAGTCCCATGTCAGGCTCCCTGCATGGAGCTTGCTTCTCTGCCTATGTCTCTGCATCTCTCTCTCTCTGTGTCTCTCATGAATAAATAAATGAAATCTTTAAAAAAAAAGAAAAAGAAAAAAAAATGAGTTTGTTATTAATTATCTGCCTTTTTAAGTTGGATTTATGGGCTCTCCCTTCATCTCTCCTCATATTGTTTATGTACTAAGTACTTTTCTGGTTTCAGGCTAAATTCTCTGTGAAGAAATCAGAAGATGAAGAAGATGCAGCTAAAGATGCTTATATTATTGAGTGCCAAGGAATTGGGATGACAAATCCCTATCTATAGGATATTTGCCTTTTAAATAATACTTCAATGATGTATTGCACTAATTCATTTCATAAATACTAGAAACAATGAAGAAGAAGTAACTTATTAAAGGACCTGACATAAATATGGAGATGAAGTATAGAGTGTTGTAGATTTGCGGAGAATGCTTCATCAAATTAATCTCACTTTGACTATCTCCTAAGATAAAGACAATGAAATATGAGAGTTGATGAGTATGTATGATGGCTGATTTCAATATTAAAGTATTGAGATGGAGTATTCTTTCCACCCTAAGTGTGTTTTTCTTTTTTATATAATAAATTAAGTCAAGGATGTAGATTTGGTCTGTAATTTGTGTCTGGTTCTAATCACTTTACTGAAGCTTCATGTAAAGTATAATGAAACAACTTTTTGCACAGGTACTTGGAACAATAACACTTAATAAGCATTTTCTCATTCCAATTATATGTACCTTCTTTCTTGTGGGGACTTGGTAAATATTGATTTTGAATCTGTGGAATGTTTTGAAATCGAAACAATGAGGATTGCAAAATTTGCACCCTAGTATATTTGTCTAAATTCAGCCTACGTATGTTTTTGTTTGGCTTTCAAAATATTGAACAGATTAAAAATCTAATTAAAAAATAATTGAGCACCTTTAGAACAGAATGTGTTTTTCATCAGTCTCTATTATCTTAGTCTACTTCCACATTTAGAATACTTCCTGGTCCCTGTAGGCAGCTGAGGTTGTGACTCAAATGAAACTGGTTTGGTGTATCAGCTAAATATGCTGTCCTGTAATATACATACAGTGAAGAAGTTTTTGAAACTTGGTTTTGTTTTGGACTCTATCCAGTGATGATTAAAACATAATCTAAGGGATCCCTGGGTGGCGCAGTGGTTTGGCGCCTGCCTTTGGCCCAGGGCGCGATCCTGGAGACCCCGGATCGAATCCCACGTCGGGCTCTCGGTGCATGGAGCCTGCTTCTCCCTCTGCCTGTGTCTCTGCCCCCCCCTCTCTCTCTCTGTGTGTGTGTGACTATCATAAATAAATAAAAATTAAAAAAAAATAAAACATAATCTAAGATCTAGATCTAGGGGATGGTATTCAGAAAGTGCTGAATTAGTCTGTATACAATGAAATTAACTCCCATGTATATGATCATCATTATGTTATCAGTGATTTTTTTGTGGCCTCAGACAGTTGGGTTCCATTTGTTCTAAAGATGTGATAATAGTATTGGCTTGCTATTTATGTTCTCACTAAGTAGATACATTTTATAAGTTCATCTGTATAAGACTTCTGAATACAAATAATTCTGTTGATTTGATGCTATATGTATAGTGGTTGTTAAGAATATTCTTTAAACCAGTAGCCTTCAAATGGGTATTCATAGCACTTGAGTTTCACAAAGCCTTTCCATGAATTCCAAGTTTGCACATTACAGTAGTTTTTTACTGTAATATTTTTTACTGTAAAAAAATACAATTTTTTTTTTTTTGGAAATTTGTTTCTAAATTTCTCTGCTAAAATATGTACTTTCTCCTAAAACTGTGTTGCCTGCTGTCAAGGTAGTTCTTTGCAGGTTCTCCTTTTTAGCTTCTTTCTCACAACTGCTGTTCTTCCTCTTCACAAAAGGAAAGTGTATTTTTTATCCATCCTATTTTTTACAGCGCCTTCCCCAGAGTATATAAAGGGACAACTTGAAATATTAGTCTCTAAAAAGATACAAACTTGCATCTTATTTTGTATATTTGCATGATTTTAAGTAAGGAAATGAAAACATCAGTGTTTACTTTCCACAGGTCAATCTTATATCTTTAAATAAAACATTTTTCTGATTATTAGGAGAAATATTTTCATTAGCTTTGCCAAAGGCTACAGAAAGTGTAAATCTGTTTTCTAAACTTTGAGAGTTTATTGCTTAGGATTTATGAATTCTTTACTTTCTATTCCTACCATATGGTGTGTGTTTTAGCATCTATATATTTTTAATATTCTATAAATATGCACATAATTATTAATATATATATTTTAAGCCTCATATTTGCTTGATAACCTTTTTTTGCAATTGATTTCCAGTGAGCTCTACGTCATCCCAGTACCATAGATATACATGATCTAATTTTTTATCTTTTTATTTTTAAAGATTTTATTTATTTATTTACAGAGAGGCAGAGACCTAAGCAGACGGAGAAGAGTCTCCTCATGGGAAGCTTGATGTGGGACTTGATCCCAGGACCCTGGGATCACGACCTGAGCCAAAGGCAGACGCTTAACTGCTGAGCCACTCAGGTGCTCCCATGATCTAATTTTTAAAAGCAGATCATCAATGTGAGGCACTTGGGTGACTCAGTTGGTTGAGCATCTGACTCTGGATTTCAGCTCAGGTCATAATCTCAGCATTTTGAGATCGATCCCTGAGTTGGACTCTGTGCTGAGTATCAAACCTGCTTGGGATTCTCTCTCCGTCTGCCCCCTCTCCTCTCTTTCTCTTTTTCTCTTGTCTCAGGAAAAAAAAAAAAAAACCCTTAAAAAAAAAGCATTATCATTAAGAGATCTATATCCATAAGATTTTACTTTTATATTTAATATTTCAAAACATGTATTTGTTTTTTTGTTTTTTTCATATTTTGTATTGGAGTTCAATTCTCCAACATACAGTATAACACCCAGTGCTCATCCTGTCAAGTGCCCCCCTCAGTGCCCGTCACCCAGTCCCCCCATAGCCCCCCTCCCACCTCCCCTTCCAGTACCCCTTGTTCGTTTCTTAGTTAGGAGTCTCTCATGAAAACATGTATTTGTTATGCTCAACTCTATAGTAATACTAATTGTAATTAAGCCAAGAGAAATTTAAAACATTTTTTTTCTTAAGATTTTATTTATTCATGAGAGACAGAGAGGCAGAGACATAGGCAGAGGGAGAAGCAGGCTCCCTGCAGGGAACTCGATGTGGGACTCGATCCCAAGACTCCAGGAGCATGCCCTGAGCCAAATGAAGGCAGACGTTCAACTGCTGAGCCGTCCAGGTGTCCTGAAATTTTTAACATTTTTAAGAGTCTTGTGTTTCCTGAATGTTTTAAAACAATGCAAATTAATATGTTTATTTTCATTACAGAAAAATAGGACAAAGTAGACTTTTAAGCATAAAAACATAAAATTATGAGGGAAGTGGAATGTATTTCTTTTCATGGAGATAGTGGATATCAAATAGTTATAGCATTTAGAGTCCAGTGGACAAATTGAGAGTGGTGGAATATTTTTATTTGAAGATGGCCATATTTATAAAATGAAATGAGATTCTTTGCTCTAACAATTGAAACTTAGGAACCTGGGTGGCTCAGCGGTTGAGCATCTGCCTTTGGCTCAGGTCGTGATCCCAGGGTCCGGGATAGAGTCCCGTATTGGGTTGCAGGAAGCCTGCTTCTCCCTCTGCCTCTGCCTCTCTCTCTTCTCTCTGTCTCTTGTGAATAAGCAAAATCTTTTGTTTTTTTAAAAAGAAACTTGTGATGAAAAATTTTGATGCCAGATAACTGGTAAGAGAGCATTTCTTTGTATATCTGTGAGGGGATTTCCAGAAGAAATTAGCATCTGAATTTGTGAACTGAGTCTGGTCCTTCCAATGTGGTAGGCCTTGTCCAATCTGCTGAACACCTGAGTAGAACAACAAGTCAAAGGAAGGTTGAATTCCCTCCGTGCCTAAATGTTGGTCCCAAGGCATCAGTCTGAGTGTTCTCAGTTCTTAGCTCTTCTCACTGGAATCTACACCTCTGGCTCTTCAGCTCTCAGGCCTTTAAACAACGCCACTGGGGCAGCCCGGGTGGCTCAGCGGTTTAGCACTGCCTTCAGCCCAGGACGTGATCCTGGAGACCTAGGATTGAGTCCTGCGTCGGGCTCCCTGCATGGAGCCTGCTTCTCCCTCTGCCTGTGTCTCTACCTCTCTGTGTTTCTCATGAGTAAATATTAAAAAAAAAAAAAAAAAAAAAAAAACAACCAAAACACTACGCCACTGGCTTTCCTGGGTCCCCAGCGTGCGGATGGCAGATTGTGGGACTTCTGCATCCCTGTAAATCTCTGTCTCTTGTTCTCTCCTTTGTTCATGTATGTATAAGACCTACCAGTTCTGTTTCTCTGGAGAACCCTGACAATTATAACTGGAGTCCCCAGAGCCTGTGAATTTGAAGGAGGTGTTCTCTTGGGACTGATGATCAGATCTCTCCAGAAGGGGTACATTTTAGCTGGTGATGAGACTGCAGGAGCATTGCAGCTGGTACTCAGACTCTCGGGAGAGGGGTGCATCCAGACAGGTGCACATGGCTTGGCGCCGCAGGTGAGGGAGTACAGTGGGGCTAATGTTGCTATTGCCAAGAAAGCACCACAGAGCATGTGGCAGGGCAAGTGGAATGAGGCCTGAGGCCATGGTTTGCTGCCGCTGTTGCTGGAGCTCCTGATGGGAATTAGAAGAGTCCTTTTTCTTTGTGTTGTCTTCCACGGTCCACCTGGTTTTCCTTTTGCAGAACCTAACCAGAAGCCACTGGGCATGGCAGTCTGGAAATCATAATTTACATATGGAAACAGTTGGACAGAGTTTTGAAAGGAACAGTTGGAGCTGAGAGACCCTAAATAGCAGGACCTATCATTTGGTCATTCATTATCCATTTACGTGTTTCTGTCTTACAACAACACTAATGTCTCTTTGCTTTTGCCTAGCAGGATATAACTATCCCTTTTACAATGATATTTCTATCATCTTCCTCAAAAAAAAGGCCCAAAGTCCCAACAGTCCCCATAGCCATCTCTGGGTGATGTTGTTCTCTTTTATTGAATCCCATCTGAATATTCTATAACATACAGAGTAAATCGTGAAGTTAATCACCAATAATGGTCCTCATTCAAAATGAAGCGGGATGATGATGGGGTAGAGAAAAGGAAGTAAATATATGTCAATATATACACAACAAGCAAGGAAGAACTTTTTTTTTTAAAGATTTTATTTATTTATTCATGATAGACGTAGAGAGAGAGGCAGAGACACAGGCAGAGGGAGAAGCAGGCTCCATGCAGGAGCCTGACGCGGGACCCGATCCCGGGTCTCCAGGACAGTGCCTCAGGCCGAAGGCAGGAGCCAAACCGCTGAGCCACCCAGGGATCCCCGGAAGAACATTTTCATAACTGCTACAGTCATATCTGCTGTACACTTTATGTTCCCTTTACCCTCATCAGGCACCGCAGCCAGTCGGGGTTCTTTTCCTGGTGGAGGTAATCCAACCCCCCATTCCCAAAAGCT